TTCTGGCTACATGAGTCCGGTCGGAATGGATGGAATCCGGTAACCGAATATGAAAGAAAAATGACGAATATGATCGGATTCTGGCGGAAACGTCCCGACCGGATCCGATGACCGGTATGAACGGATTTAAAAGCCATCCGACAAGATCCGACGGACCGCGATTCTCCTGGGAATAAAAATGAAAATAAGAATAAAAATAATATTAAATATTAAACAGTAAACTATTTGATAGAGGATTAAACAAACAGACAAGTCACAAAATAAATGTCGTCAGTTCCATGTATTTCATCATATTAACGTAGTCGACTATATAATCAATTCCCTAAGATTAGCTCATCTTACCACTTTTTACATACATAGATCACTTCCTATTTCATGTTTTCTTCTCTTCGTTTCTGTTTTATTTTTTCTACTTTCTACTTTCTGTTTTTCTCATTTCTTCTTCCCTTTTCATAATCTTTCGCCACTGCAAATCATATGGCGTTCATGCACAATACGTGATATTATATTACATTGCATCGTCGAATTTTATGTGTCTAAAGTGCATATGATAATGTACGCATATATGAATTCTTTTGGGTTCTTCTCCAGATCAACGACACCCCTGTTTTATTGGTCGTGTTAAGAACAGAAAAGAAAAAAATTACTATTGACTAATCTCGCTTAATCAATAGAAAAATAGAGGATAAGAAAATAAAAGAGGGCGTATTGTTGTGCAATAGCAGACACGATAGTGATCAAATGAAAAGAAATTAATTCAGATAAGTATTCCAATATATTTATTTGAAGAAAAAAACAAAAAGAAAAGACAAAAAGAAAAAAGAAATGATTAATATCTACAATGAAAAGAGCAGTTTAGAAAGAGAAAATGAAACTATTTTAATATGAAAGAAAAAAGAAAACTTACTTGATACTTACCTACATGACAGGGTATTTTTCTTGAATGACCCGAATCAGATTTTCAAGTGGACGCTTACCGAATCGACTTCGCCACATAAATTCTGCTATATGGCTGCCTAATAAGCTTCTATGTTGACCCATTTGACGTTTTTTTTCTCTTTTTGCAACCATCAACATGTTTTCGACGTTTTGAGTATGAACTAATGTTAGTGGATCGGCGAAGTTGACCGAGTGGTTCACTGTTTCGTGTACATATTGATGTGGAGCATTGTTAACATTTGCTATTGCATTGTAGGCAGCCCATTGATCGCTGTAAATCGTCGTACCAGGTAATATGTATTCATGAATAAGTGGCAGCAGAGTTGCGGTGTGTCTCGTTGAGCTACAAGTACAAGAAAACATTCTCGAGTATCCCGATCGATCCCTCCAAAAACCCATTGAATATCAACTTGTCTACCTCGATTGTATTTGCGCTTCACCCATGCACTTTCGTCGATTTCAACCACGTGTACTGGACCTCCAATAACAGCCGAATTTTGAATAAAATATTCGACGCATAGATCTCGCATGAAGTTTTTCCAATCGACGATAGAAGTGTCGCTTAAAATTTGGCAGTGCCGGCGAATAAATTTGTGAGAATCGACACCTTGAGACCAGTACATCATTAAATCGAGAATTTGTTGTATTTGAAGTCGACTCTGTGAAAAAAAAGTACCATCACGTAAAGAACGAGAAGACTTACATGTTCGACAACGCCATTTAAATTTGTCAGCTGCTGTAGCACACGCTCCTAAATACCAATTATCGTGATTTTTTGGGCATGGTGTTGTAGGATAAATATGTAGTAGTCCAATTTGTTGACATAATTGAACACATTCTTCAGTTGTTGAAGTTAAATTGTGCCATTCGCGATGATGAAGATCGTCAAGAGGAATAAGTGGAGAGTATGCCATGTATTATTAATATTATCGGTGATAAGTGACATTTTAATGAATAAAAAGCTATTTAAGTAGTCTTAAGCTTATCAACTCGTTAATTGGATTTTCTCTTTTTGGGATGATTAACCTTTAATCAATTACTTCAAAAATATATAAGCGTACGCCATCTTTTATTTTCTTACCCTCTATTTTTCTATTGATTAAGCGAGATTAGTCAATAATAATTTTTTTCTTCCTGTTCTTAACACGACCAATAAAACAGGGGTGTCGTTGATCTGGAGAAGAACCTTCTTTTGATTCTTTTTCTTTTTCTATATTTTTCAACATGTGAACCTGTATATGGCACATTAAAATAAATGTTAAAAAAAAATTGTAGTCGTTGTTGTCGAATCTATATACAACAAGAGCAGCAAAGAAAAATATCTTTTGAAAAATAACTAAATTGCTTATGTGTAGGTACAACAAGCAGAAAATTTACTAATTAGATCGATTAATAATTTCTATTGGTTCTTCTAAAAACTTGAGTTCATGCCGCCCAGGTGAACTAATCTCTAGTGTGGGTGTAGTACAGTAATAATAATAATAAATTCTTCTCATCACTACATATCAATTGATGCTATTGAATATTTCGTAAACAGCAATGCATATACCATACATTTGTGTTTTCAATGTCTCTGATAAAACAACGACAATCATTGATACATTTTCCTTCCTTTTCTTTCATAAGTCATCATTACATGGTGCAGCTTGAATCTAGTTTTTTTTCGTGTTGAATACACGTTTCTAAAGCTTCATCGACGAAACTATGCGTGGGAGAAATTGGCGTATTCAATCAACCAAATAATATACATTTTGTTGCGTTCTATTACAGTTGTATCATTTTGGACGATGTTTATAAAATAAAAGAAAAAATCACACACTCAACATGAGCGAAAACCAATCACTCACCCAGAAAGTAGAGTATAAGCTTATTAATGATACCAATAAAAAAAGAAGACAATCATCCATTGGCATGTAAGATGGAATTTAGTTTCAGAAATTTAATGAGTATATCTTTAAAATTATGTAGATTATTTGATTGGCGTGGATGGTTCACTTCCAGAGAGTGCGATGAGAAATATGAAAAGCTTCATGATGATAATGATAAAACTAAAGCGGAGTCAGCGGTTGGATATCTTCAATTGGTACATATATAAGGAGCAATTTTTATATGAAAATAAAAATGATTATTTATTTAACTTTCTAATAGTTTCGTTGTGCTGATCAGCTTGATATAATCATGATAGCTATAGCACTGTGTCTCGCTATACTCAATGGCGCTGCTTACACGGCACGTTTTATAGTTTTTGGTGAACTTATAAGCTCATTTGCAGAAGAAAAGTTTATTGGTCGATGCCCTCCAGAGCAAAATGTATCGATTACTTTTAATATTACTACAGAATGTCAGCGGACTATTGAAATAAATGCAACTAATCACAACCTATCGCAGACGTAAATAATAATTGGCGACAATTTTTGATGCACATTAAATATTTTTTTTCTTCATTATTCATTATTTCAGGTCCTGTCTTTACGAAAATAGTAGTGTAGTACCAACACAGCCGATATTTACGCCAGGATTTCTTGATGGTGCAAATCAAAATTTATATTGGTTATTGCGTAAGCAGAAAAAAGATCTAACATTCAAATATTAAACTAAATAACATTTTGAATCTTTGATTTATGTAGTCATCAGCGCAGTCGAACTCTTTTGCATTGGTTTCCGTTATTTCCTACTCGCATGGTCTGCCGGGCGACAGACAGCTCGAATACGTATTCGTCTCCTACAATCATTGATGCGACGCGTATGTCAACGAATCATCTTCATTTATGATGATGAAACTCGTAAAGAGAAAAAATTATCCTCTTCATGGTGTTCTCGACATCAATATGAACTATCATCGCCCAGACCTTGTATTTTCTACCAAAAACAGATATTTTACGGCCACCCAACAAAAAGTTTTATTATGCAGCACGAGTATTAGCGAGTATTGGAATAATTATATTAGGATAGAATTGAGTTCCCGTTTTCAAATAACTCTACTGCATAAAATATGGCAAACCCTGTTAGAACTTTCTAGTATTAACTATTACGGTTGATCTGAGCTTTGAGAGGTTTTCAACTTGTGACTTATGAATTCAACGAAGTATGGTCTAGATGTAGATGGATTTTCTCATCATGATCACACGAGTTTTATCATTCTCTACTTTTCAGTCGTCTACCGATCGAGTTCAAAAACATTTTCTATCGATGAGTATGAACTTCTGCAAAATTTGAAACACACCAAAACCTTAAGAAATAATTGTATTCGAAAAATTGAATTTTATCTCCATTTCCATGTCAATTTAAAGTTCACACCATCACAACGAATTTATTTCATGAGGCTTTCATAGTAAATAATTCAAATGAATACTATAAAATCACAGTCACATCCAATATGTTACTTTATGAAAAAAAAACGCTCAACAACATTTCTAAATAGGTCTTGATATTTCGCAGCAATTGAAGTATTACGAGAGAAAAATTGAACAAAGAAAACCACGATAGAGACTTGTAATTTTTGATTTCTTAGAGTTCTATAATATTTGAAGAATGAATAAGGCTACATTGATTGAGTAACACAGTGCCTAATGTAGAAAATCACTTAGCCAATCATTTGAAATAGAAACGCAAATTTCACCGATGATAAAAAAATCAGATGGCAAAAGAAAGACAGTGAATATTATATATTATACCAATTGAATTTTGTACCTGTCGATTATTTCTTTCTTTCTCTTACATTCCTAGAACATAGCTTACTGCGATATGAACTCGATCAGTCAGTTCAGTGTTAAACTTTTCAAGTAAATACTTTGTTGTTCATATCTACAATAGGCAAGATATTGTCTTCTTTTACATGTTAGCAATATTGACAATTTGAGTAAAGGGATCGGTTTTGAATCGTCGATGTTGATCATGACAGTGTTTGCCACGATTTTTAGTGCCATATATGCTTTGATCGTCAATTGGCAATTATCACTTGTCATACTGGCAACAGTACCATTCACTATGGTTGGCGCATATGGTTTCTCTAAAGTAACCATAGTTATTAATGATTAACCTAGATTAAAACGTTTCTAATAGCTCACTGCCATAGAAACAAAAAAACAATTGGATGTATACGCGCAAGCTGGAGCAGTTGTTCAAGAAGTGTTTAGTTCTCTTCGTACAGTCCTTTCGCTAAACGGTGAAAAATTCGAAGAAAAACGGTGAGAAATATACATATTTATCAATGAATTGTGTAGATTTTGAAGCATAGTTATTTTTGTGTCTTATTGTGAATATAGATATGTTAGTAAATTGAGGGCGACTCGATGGAATAGTATACGAAAGGGGGCTGCATTCGGCCTTCTCGCTGGCTGGGTGTATCTTATAGGATATGTTATTTATTCGATTGGTTTTGCTTTTGGCTCGTATCTTATGAACCGAGGAGAGTATGACAGTATTCCTTTTCATGATATCATTGTAGTAAGTTATTCGGTTAAAAAACCAGTTTATGACAATATATGAATTTTCTTTATTCTATTAGATAATAGTTGTTTTGGTACGGCCTATCACTAATGTTGCCTTTGTTAGTCCTTTTTTTCAGTTATTAGAAGAAGCTCGAGGTGCTGTAGCGCCTGTATTTCAATTAATTGATGAGGTACAGTTGAATTTAATGTATGACTGTTTCTCTTCACCATTAGATAATATAGGACGAAAACATGGATTTGAATGAGATACAAACATTTCAAGATTCAACTACTTCGGAAGTAGCTTTGAACATAGAGGGTGATATTCAGTTTGACAATATTAATTTTGCGTATCCGGCTCGACCTAATGTTCCAGTCCTAAATAATCTTACGCTAACAGCTCGTGTCGGTGAGACAACAGCTCTAGTTGGTTCGAATGGATCTGGTGAGTCTTGTTTTTAAATTGAATACGAAATTTTATCATCAATTGTTTATTGAGTGAATAGGCAAGAGTACTGTTGTTTCGCTTCTACTCCGTTTTTATGAACCTACATCGGGTAGTATTAAAATTCGTGATCAGTCAATTGCCGATTGTAATCTCAAACAGCTACGAAAAAAGATTGGCGTAGTTAGTCAAGAACCTGTAAAGTTTTCTCTTCGTATTGTGATTTTTGCATGTGATATTTTCCTACATAGATCCTCTTTGCCACAACTATCTATGAAAATATTCGCTTTGGTAGAGAAAATGCAACAAGAGTCGAGATTGTAGATGCAGCACAACAAGCTAATGCGCATGATTTCATTATGCAGTTACCCAATGTTTGTATCTAGAACTTATTTTCAACGATATATAAATATTACGTTTATATTTTCGTAGAAATACGAAACAATCGTCGGTGAACGCGGAGTTCAATTGAGTGGTGGAGAGAAACAACGTGTGGCACTGGCTCGTGCTCTGGTCAAACAACCCGTGATAGTTGTGTTGGATGAAGCGACAAGTGCTCTTGATAATAAAAATGAAAAGATTGTTCAAGAAGCACTTGATCGAACTTGCAAAGGTTTACAAATTACTCTCTGTAACAATTATATCATCTCTAGATACATATAGGTCGAACAACTATTGTAATCGCTCATCGTTTGGCAGCAGTTAAGAATGCGCATCGTATTTATGTGTTGGATAAAGGAAGTGTGATCGAGCAAGGTACACACGAGACATTAATGGCACAAGAAGGAAGTCACTATCGAGAGCTAATGAGAGTTCAACATACAGAAGATGATATCGACGAAACAAGCGATCCGACACATATGGATGAGGATGCAAAGCAACCATGTACGTAAATAATCTTTAAAAAAACGAATACTTCGAATGTGATTATTTATTTTTCAATCAGTGGAACGTTCTCGATATTATAGCTATTATGAAATTGACGATAAGGATCAAGTAAAAACACAAAATTTATACACATATAGAGATGTTTTTGATAAATATCACACATTTTTCATAGATGACAACAAGTCGTCGACCTGTGTTCATTCGGCTTTTGTCAATGAATAGACCTGAATGGGTCATCATTCTGGTCGGTTGTTTAGCCTGTCTTTTTGGTGGATTATGTCAATTAGTTCAGGTCTTTCTACTCACGGACTCGCTCAATGTAAGTTATCTCCGTCAATATCACGATCAATATTTTCTTGATTGATTATTCACAGGCATTTGGTGAATGTACCTACCAAAAACGAACTCATACAATTAATAAATACTCCCTATTATTGATACTGACCGGCATTTTTAATTTGATCTTTCGTTTTATCCAAGTAAGATCATGCTTCACGAATCAAATGCTTCATATTTTCTGTATTAATAGTACACTGCGCTTGCAACATCTGGCTCGAAATTGACCGAACGTATTTGTGCTAAAGCATTCACACATTTTCTAAGTCAAGAAATGGCATTCTTTGATCGCCCTGAGAATAGTTCGGGAGCTATTTGTAACCGTCTCTCATCTGATGCATTAGCAGTGCAGCATATGGCTGGAACTCGTCTAGGCATTATTTGCGAATCACTTGCGACGTTTGGCATTGGCATTTTTGTTGGATATTTTTATAGTTGGGAATTGACAACAGTTCTATTATTATTTGTTCTCATCTTTTTTGGGCTTGCTTTATTTCAAATAAATTGGCAATCACGATTGAACCAACGCTCTGATCAAATTCTTGGCTTAGCAAGTTCAGTAAGATTTACGTTTTTGATTAAAATATCGTACAGATTCATACTAAATCCTGTTGTTTTTTTTTTGTTATTAGCTCGCTGTCGAGATCATTCACAATATGCGTATAGTGAAGCAATTGGCAAACGAGAAAGAATTTTTGCACAGATTCTCAGATTTTATTACTAAAGAATTCAAGTGAGCTTGTCACATTTTTTAACTTTAATCTTTACATATTTTTATCCTATAGGGCTCGTCGAAACGACATTATCATTTCTTCCTTCATATATAGTGTCTATTGGGGTACAGCCCCACTGATCTTGTTAGTTCTTTGTTGGCAGTCTCTGACACTTATTCAACATGGAGCAATGAATATAAAAAATATTTCATTGTAGAAAAATAGAAACAACGCTTTAGAATCTATTTTATTTACATATTATTCTAGAATGTTTGCATATTCGATCTTTGGCTTAGAATCTCTGCGTTGTATTATGACGCTGTAAGTAATTGTGCTCGATAAATTTCTGTACTTCTTCACCTATACTTGTTCAGAACACGCCAGATGAGTGAATCATTAACAGCAGCTCGAAGTTTCTTCAATTTACTAGATCGTATACCAACTATTGATAATCGTTCTACTGATTGTAAACAATTAGTAAGTGACTCATTCAGTAAAAGTCTGAGATTGTAATGGATTGATCATAGGCTGATTTACAAGGAGAAATATCATTTGAACAAGTTAAATTTGCTTATGTGTCTCGACCGAAAAAATGCGTTCTGAATAAATTTCAATTGACCATCAAACCTGGTAAGTGTATTCTGTTTATTTCCAGTGAAGTTAATGATGGAATTCCTCTTTTTATCGGCTAGGTCAGCGTGTAGCTCTTATAGGTCTGTTGAAATTAGCTGGTATACATTTTAAATAGTTACATGATCTACTTACATAGGTTCATCCGGTTCTGGCAAATCGACAGTCATTCAACTCCTGGAACGGTTCTACGAACCCATAAAAGGACATGTTGTGAGTATCTCTCTGTTGTTCGATCAACATTTCTGTGCAAGCATTCTATGTAAAAAAAATTAGAGTCTTGATGGTGTTGATATTCGACAATTAAATATTCAATGGCTCCGATCACGTCTTGGTCTCGTCAGTCAAGAACCTGTCTTATTTAATTTGACTGTTGCAGAAAACATAGCATATGGCCTAGAAAATATTCTAATTGAAGATATTATAGATGCAGCCACAAAAGCAAACATTCATCATTTCATCGAGCAGCTACCTCAAGTGAGTAAAGAATAAGATATGATATTCACGATGCTATATTTCCATCATAACAACAGGGTTATGACACCAAAGTGGGCATGAAAGGTAGTCACTTGTCAGGTGGAGAAAAACAACGTATTGCAATTGCTCGAGTTCTTCTACGTCGACCAAAAATATTATTACTAGACGAAGCAACTAGCGCCATGGATGCGCACAATGAACAGGTGTGTTTGTTTACAATAATCATAACGGAAATAACAATTTTTCGCTTGTTTAGATCGTGCAAGATGCTCTGGAAAAAGCTCAGACAGATGATCCAACTAGAACCTCCTTGATCATTGCTCATCGTCTTTCTACGATTCGTTCGTGTGATGTAATATGCGTGCTTGATCATGGAATTGTGGTAGAAAGTGGTAATCACACAGACTTGATGGAACGGCGTGGCTTCTACTATAATATGCTTGTTCACAATAGTACTTGATAAATTGACCTTCTATTATATTTTAATGAAGCATATTAGAAATTGAAATAAAGTATTTTCATGGCCTGTGATGAGACAATAGGCTATATATAATAATTGACGATAGCAAAAGCCTTAAAGTAAAACCTCGTTAAATTTAAAAAGGAAACTGAGTAAATATGACCCTTATGATTGTTTTCATTATATTGTAAAAAAAGAAAACAAAAAACATACACAGGAGGGCTATTTTTATGAATTATAGTAGGGGCGTAACCAGGGGGTCTAGGGGGCTCAACCCCCCCCCCTCCTAGAAAAAATAAAATCCTGTGAAAAAATAAGTTTAGCTCTCCCTACGATAGTTTTGACTAACGACTTAGCCCCCCCTCCTCCCGTACAATGTTTTTCTGGTGACGCCCCTAAATTATAGTCAGGACAGTCATGCAATAAGATCTAAAAAATGCTGCGTATGCAACACATTTCATCATCGTACAGAATATTTTTGTTGACAATTTAAAAAAATAGTGCTTCTATGTTCCACTAGACTTGGAGAGAAATTTCTGAAAAATATTCAAAATTTTGCTACTCATCTGTGATGATATTAACTTTGAAGTATATTGATATAAAAGAAAACAGATCCTGCGCAGTTCAGCAAGTTATTATGCGATAAATTTTAGTCTCGAAAAGATTTTATAATAGACTTCTGATAATTTTGAATAAAACAAGATATACGTATTAATAAACTCTAATGAATTTCTTGTTGGAAGTACTATCATCTTATAGCTTATCACAGTGTCACAAGTGTTACATATACAATAAAAATATAGAATAGCGACCTCCATTAGTCTCTTATATATTAGAGAAGTATACGAAGACTTTTGATATACTAACTGATACTAAAATTGGAATTTATATTACTGTTATATGATTGAACGGTGGTTACTTTTAGCTAGTGACAGCACGAAAAAAAGCGTCATCTATCTTGGTTTTTTTAAATAGAAAAAGATGTGTCATCTAGCCTTTGTTTGTAGTACGAATTGAATTCGACCGTTCATCCATCGCATTTGTTCTTTCTTCCAAGCTCCTATCTCTCTATTGTGACTAGTGAATATGGAGAAAACAATTCGAACTATACTTGATCAAGCACAAAATAATAATATTCGGCATGGCGAACATCTTAAAGCACTTGCTGATCTTTACACTAAGGTTTTTCATCGGAAAATTTCTTTGTTCGTTGAATTGGTTTTTTGTTTTTTTAAATTTTCATCATTTTTAGTGCAATCAAGAATCTTTTCATGACGAATTTCTTCGTTGTATTGCTTCAATAATTACTTCTCCATCAAATTCAACTTATGTTGGACATGCTCTTCATTTTATATCGTCTTTTCTTACCTTAGAAATAGGTTCATCAACAAATAACGATGAATCTCCAAATAATGATAGTATGCAATCAGATGTTTTTCATCCAATTTTACCACAAGTCATACAATTTTTTGATGAAGTATTTTAATATATATTCATTTTTTGTTTTATTTCTTTTTATCTTATTTTTTTCATATAAATTAGCATAAAAATCACTCAAGTGATTATGTTCGTGCAAATATATGTGTTCTTATTGGACAAATATTAGAAAAAATGGCCGAAAATGCTGAATTAGACGGAGAATTATTTGAATTACTTGTCAATATTTCTCTTGATCGAATGAATGATCGAAGTTATCAGGTACGAGCTCAAGCAGCGAAAGCCAGTGGTCGATTACAGAATACAAAAGATCCTGATGATCTTATTACAAAACGTATTTATTTTTCATTTATAATTGAAACATCCAATCAATTATATTTTTCGATTTCTTAAGGCCTTATTTGGTTAATGGATCATGATTCTCATCCACTTGTTCGAAAAGAATCACTTCGATCAATAGCTATAACACGTTCGAATTTACCACATTTTTTACGACGTCTTACAGATACAAATGCAACCGTTCGTTTATGTGCCTATAATGTATTTGCACAAAAAGTTCAAACATTAAAAGTATTGCCAACGATTGAACGTTGTCGTATTGTGCGTATGGGTATGGATGATCCGGAAGAGCCTGTTGTTCGTGCCTTTGTCGAATGCGTGGTTCATACCTGGATTGATAAATTACCAGTTCCTCCTGGAACTGATCTAACTCATCAACCAGATGCACATAAAACAATAACTGGTTTTCTTAAAATGATCGATGTCATGAATATTGGTGAGCAAACTGGAAGAATATTAAAAATGCTTTTTGATGATAATTTAACAAAGCACTATGATCATTTTAAAGACACATTCATTAATGATAAGTAAGAGAAAATAATTCAATTTTGATATTTATTAAAAAATTTGATACTTTTCCGAATTCAAGACGGCTGATTGGCGTTGAGCAACTCGATTGTGAATCCGCATTTTTTTGGCAACATCTTGTGGAATATCTTAGTCGAAATAATGAATATACTGAAAAACTTGATGCCATTCTACCCGAACTTGTCGATCTTGTGGATGTAATTTATGAGTAAGGAATATGCGTTTTCTAGCTGTTATATTTAAAATTAATATTTTGTTTTCATTTAAAGTCTAATTCGTTCGTATCATGATGATTCATCGACTGATTCAGTAGCTGCAGAAATTAATTTTGTTATTGATTGTGCTTTACATGTTATGGCTCATTGTAAATTTGATGATCTTGCTGGAAGATATCGCGTTGAAACATTATGTCGTGATATGTTATTTATGGAAGAAATAGCGCCAACAACATACAAAATGATAATGAATATTATGAAGAAAATTGAACCAAAATTTGAACATCGACAAAGAAAAACAATTGAAATGTTAGCTGATCTTGAAAAACGTGAAAGTCGATGTACAGAACATATTTTGGCAGATCGAAAAAGTGAATATGAGGTAAGTTTATGTGAAAACAGAAAGTTTTTATTTTTCTCTTCGAGATCATACATAAAAGACTTTCGACCAGTAATCTCTTTGTTAAACTCTTCAGACGACTCATGTTGCTTGTACGGTTTTAAAATTGTTTTCTTTTGTTTTTGAACTTCTAAAGATAAGCTAAATTTTCTCCTGATATTTTCTATGCATGGGCTCCTTGTGTATTCACTGTGAAGAATTTTTTTTTTTCTTTTAAAGATTATCGCTTTACGTGAACGTCAATCATCTTTACAAGATTCATTACATCGAATTCGTGATCACGATATTGCATCACAAAATGTCGATGAACGTGTTCGACTTGAAAAAGATCTTATTGAAGTCAAACAACGTCTTTCAAATTATGATCATACAATCCTATCAACTCAATCACAATCACACATGAGTACAATTACCTCTACAGGCGATCGTTCTAGTGTATTCAATTGTTTTTCAAATTCTTTTGTTTCCAGAAATTTAAATAAACTCTTTTCTTTTGTGTACAGGATGATCATCGTAATTTTATGATTGTTAAACGTTTAACAATTCTTTCTGAACTTTTATCAACAACAATGCCTAATAAAGTATTACCTCCATCATTCGTAACATATGCAAGAGATTTAGTAAGGAAATGAATTGTTTTGATAAGGTTGATGTCTTTTTCCCTTTTTTTTTTATCAATGTAGGCTGTCTCAAATGTTTTGTCATTCGATTTATCAGTTCGTCGTCATGCTGTTCGTGCATTAGGTTTACTTGCTGTTTATGATAAACAACTGATGATTGATACTCTTGAACTTATTAATAAAGTAAAATTTCGATGTTTTTTTTTAATAGACACCAATTGAAATTATTTAATATATGAATTTAATTAGGTGGTAGAAAATGATTCTTCCATAGCAGTTATTGAAGGTTTGAATGCATTAGGAGATATGTTTATTCGACATAATGCATCTAGCATGTTAAAAAATACAAACAATACTCGACAAGTAATGGAAGCTCTTGAACAAGGATTCAATCTTATTTCTCGAATGATTGATAATCGCGTAAGTAAAACTATTGAAATATAAAAGATCTATTCTCAGTTTTTTCTTCTATTCTAGACTCTGAATGTTCGTCTTGCAGCTTTAACTAATATGATTAAATTATTTTTTGTTGGCCAAGTCAATAGTGCTGAAGCATTTGCTAAACTAATTGTTTCGTGGTACGATGAATCAACAGATATTCGTGTCGGTGGTCTTCTTACCACATTTTTTCCGGCATATGCTGATAAATTCTGGTAATGGAAATTATTTATCTTTTTTTTCAGTTCGTAAAAATTTTCTTTTTTTATTTCAAGGCAAACCGATAAATACTTATTTAATTCGTTGGAACCATCTATTGAAGGTCTTTTGAAAAATGATTTTACTAAACAGGAACCAACATTTGTTGCTGATGCTATAAAACTCTTTCTTCAATTACATCAAATACGAGAACGAGCAGTTATTGATCATCTTATGAAAAATGTACCAGCATCGTCAGGTGATACAACAAATGTTGATTTACCCGATCCGACAAACGATCCAAATACAACTAATCTTGATTTAACAATTCATGCTCATTTAAATAGTTCAATTATATCAGTAAACAAACAAGCACTTGATAAAGAAACTGTTGAAAAACAAAAACATGAAGTAAATTTTCTGAACATTGACAAACATTGATTATCGAGATTTATTCCTATTTCTTCTTTTCTATAGGCTCGACTTAAGTATCATTTTTATGTTGCACATACAATACTAGGTCAATTGAAATCATCAACCAACGATGATCTTATTCGTTCATTAATAACAACATTAAATTTAATTGATATAACCACAGATGATTGGACGATTATTAAAAGTTTGAGACGTAAATCAAAAAAAGTCAATAAAGTATGTTTTCTTTCATCAATGATTATATTTTAATAGACGATACTTTCTAGTATCTAACGGTTAGTAAAAGAAAATCAAATTTAAAAATGTTTATTAAAAAATTATCCAATCGTATTGAATTATTACGTGGATTTGATGATGATAATGATACAACACTAAACGAATCAACACTTGTAATAAGAATAATATATATTTCAATTTACATACATTTATATATTCATGTTCCTTTTCCTAGACTGATTCATCTCAATTGAACAATACAGTAATTAGTGCTGTTCCAGCACATGTTACTAATGCAGTTTCAACAACACCTGGTTCACCACTAATGGATACAGTTTTTCGTGGCCTTGGTAAAAAAAGTAAGTTTTGTTTTCATTTATTTGAAGTCACCATTATTCTTTTTGTTTCGCATTTTTTTCATAATAGAACGTCTAGTGAAAGATTCATTGCTATCACAAAACTCGACCAGTTCTGTTGTTGTACCACCACCACCACCACCACCACCTATTGCAATTCGTAGTCCACTAACACTTCCACCAGTGAAAGTATCTCGTAATGAAAAAAATGCAACAAACGTTTCTGCTACGCCTACTCGTCAAAGTACTAATAATATGGATACTTCATCGTGTTCATCACCATCATCATCAGACAATGAAGATCAAACATCTGATATTGAAAATGAAAAACCTCAATATCTATCTCATATTATCTCATCAGCTAATAAGCGAGCACGTGCTGATGCTACATCAACTGAATCACTCAGTCCACCACGTACAAGTGTAACAAATTCAAATCGTATGATACTTCGATCTAGTGCACGCAGACAACCAGGGCAACAATCTCAGCAAATTCCGATATCAACACCTTCATTTCGTCAACAACGTAAACATCGTCGTATTGATCTTGAGATTACTCCTTTAAATAATAGCAATAAGAACAAATTACCGCCACCTCAATCATCAACACCTCATACAAATCAATAATTTCTTATGAACCTATGCGCGTGTACATATTAATATTAGTTGTTTGCAAGAATATCTTCTAAACATATATTAAACATATATTTTCTTTGTTATCTAATAGCAGCTTGATTAAAACTTTTCATGAAATACATTGAAATAATAATTCTTTTGTTAAATAAGATATTTATGAGAGTTAAATATTTTATATAGTTTGCATTTATTACAAAGTAAGGAAAAATAAAAAATAAAATATGCGCTTTATATTTATGTTCATTTATTTAAGTTCTGTACAATACTAATAGACGTGAAAGAAAGTCGTAGTTATTGATGCGTATGAAATAAACACCCAAATCCTCAATCTGATATATTGAATAAACTACAGGCAACGCCATTTTATAGGGTTAAAACTCTGTTTTAGTTGTAATCCTTGTTGAGTCACACGAATACAGTATACTAATAATTCATCACACTATTTCTTTTGCACATGAAAAAGTTGATCTTAATCTCTATACAAAAACTCGATTATTAATACGCAATCTTCACATCAGAATCAAAAAGCATCAACAATCATAGTATGTGTATAATAGTAAGAGAAAAAAAAATAATAGTCAAAGATTAATTTACATCTAATGTGCTTTACTAGTAATGCTAAGATTTTCTCGTTGCGAAAATGGAGAAGAAAGATAGCTGTGCTTTTGTTTAACAAGCAAATGAATATGTTTGATTAAGTGTTTACAATTATTCAGAAATATTTTTGTCTACATCTTCATCAATGAACAAATTCATAGATGCAGTTAAGACATGAAGTCGTACAATCCTATTGCAATATGATGTTATAAAGAAAATTATTTCAGATTCACTTCTCTGTCTAAAAAAGGCTCTAATTCATGTTTATTAAGATATAATTCATAAATTTAAAAAATTAGTTTTAAAATAATTCTTTCTTTTAACTTTTGAAACATGGATGTGACGTCTGTTTGAAAAATCTGTTAGTTGTAGATGACGAAAAATACTATGACTAAGCGGAAGGGGGCCAATGAAAATTGACTCATGTTTGCTGTTAGAGCGGGGGCTGCCCACGCATGTTCTACTACCTTCTCCATATAGGGAGTGCGTGCCAATGTACTAGACCATTTACATGGTTTCAAACAAAAACATGATTGGAAAAATAGTTTGTGATTGACGATAAAGTCTCAAAAAGACGTTGGAAAAAAACTAAATTTATGTCGTCATTTACATGAATATTTAAGGATGTTTACGAACAATAACGAATATTGCACTGACGTCAGTCAGATTAACATTTTGCATTAGATTAAGAACAAAATAGTTATTTTATTTCTCGCATAGTACTTCAGAAGTCTGAGTAAAATTTTACGATCTCTGATAATCTATCAGCATAAGGAACAACATTGTTAGAGCAGCAATTATTCTAAGAAAGACTATTAAGCAAAGAAACACTTGAAAAAAAATAAAGAAATGCTGTATTTCATTCTTTCATTTCTTAAAAACAGAATACTGTTAACAATCGTATGAGCTTCGGCGACACTGAAAAATAGCTTTTACTTGGTAAATTTCGAAAATCATATACGAGGAAGAGGAGCGCCCAATTTTAGATGACTTTAAAAAAATCAATAAAAGAATAACATTCATCTCTACGGGCTGCCACGTCATTAAAGTGTAGGCTTTTGGTTTTGAATATGTTAATGATAATCGAACTTGCTATTTTTGCCGATTAGCATCTAAGCCTTCTAGTTTTTTTTGTCTATGCCACATCCGTAATCTAATTTCAACAAATTATTTGAGTTGTGGATTTGAGTAACATTTTTGTTGATATACTTTTGAATTTTTATGATAATTTCGGTGCGAATGACGCAAAACCTCAATGTTTCTATATTTGCCTTCTACTTTATTTGCGTTTTATGTCGATGACGCACAACGATCGTGATAATATATTTTACATATTGATTTTCATGTAACTCAGAGACAAAATAAACTTGACAATCTGTCAATTTTGTTGTCATGAATGTTCGCTTTGTAGCTAGCATCAATAGTTTGAGTCATATGCCTTCCAACAAACAACTAATCTTTGCTTTCGTCCTGTTCTTCTTAACTTTTCGCCTATCTTACGTGTACGAATTACATGACAGAACAGGAAAAAGGGTGTATATATATATATATAAATACACGTACACGAATTCATATAAAGCACCGAAAGATCCACACGCCACCAGAAAATACTCCTTGCCATTGTAATTGACAAATGTTGCGAAAACACACAGAAAAGTGTACTTGGAATCGGGACGATTCTCAACCGTGGGATTCATATGTAACAGGTACCATCTCATCTTCAGATACTCAAGAGAATACAACCAAAAATGATAGACGGCCCAAGCGTTGATTTAATCGGAATGAAGACTTTGGTACTCATTATACATGAACAACACTACTGAAAACAATGAAACTTTCAGATTATCGGATTATTAAAAATCTCTGTTCGAACAATCAATGGAAACAATTAATATAAAATTTGTATTTGCTGAAGAATCATTACGATTAATTGTTCTACTCATTCAATTGTCAAGTTTTTTTGCATATGTTTTATATATTGTATAATAAACTCGAGAAAAATTGGATCCGATAGGATTTTCCCGACTTAGTCGGACAAACAAATTGAACTTGTTAACTTAATCAGTAAAAATAGCCTGGCGTGTTTACTGTAGTTCGACGAAATTATACAATAAGACACTTGGATAACTTTCATTTTTTTTCTCCTGTGATATCTTATATACATTGAATATGAAGAACGATGAAAAAATTCGTGAAAACATTTTAATCCAATCATTCACAAAAAAAAACGTTGAACACTATGTACAAGATATGATTTCGCTCGAAGAGCTATCAAGTTAGATCTACTTTTACTTGAAATCCCTATTAAAAACAGGTGAAGATTTTTCAATTAGTAAAAAGATAGACGTTCTTAGTAGATTAGAAAATTTTTTGGAGACGAGAACGTACTGGACTAAACTGTAAATCGCTTTTTAATATATTTGCCGTGTTTTGATTGTAGTCATTTTATGCCAACATTAAATCTAAGCATATCATACAAAATATTTTTCTTCCAATATTTTTACCATCTATTAGTTCCGATTTACAAAAGTCACGAAAAGCAACGAATAGAAAAAAATATTTCTTTGTACAAAACATATCGCAAAATAATATATCATTGCTTATGGTTAGGATATTATGAGTAAAGATCTACTTGTGTCTACGTTTTTTTCCTGACAATAGAGACACGGGCTTTATCAGATAACAGCTAATCCATTATGAAAATAGTCTTCAGATGTGCAAATACTTGAGCAAGTGTTCTTCGAAGAATACTATTTCTCATCATTAGAATGTACTGCTATTCGTATGTACACAGAATGCGTATTCGGTTGGTACTTTCCTAAAAATTGTTTCATCATAGCCAACAGTATTTTATTCAAGTCATTTTTAGAACAAATAGTGATGTTAGTAATATATGTTTCTATTATATCAGTTAGTTAAATCTCTATGTGAGAGAGTGACTTGAATAGATTTGACACAGAAAAACCTCAGTTTTTTCTCTTCAGTAGTTAAGTATTATCGAATGGTAAATATTATGGGTAATATGTTTTATTTCTGGAAAAAATAGTACTTCAATGTAATGAATTGAGATAAGACTTTTAGTGTATATTAACTGTATTATTCTAAGGATACCCTTGTCATAAATGATTGTTGCGCTCTTTGTTTTTTTTGACAGGATATTATCTTTTTCTCGTGTCAGCGTGCTATAAATAAAACACACTCATTCAATAGCAATTGGTCGAGAAAAAATTAATTTAAACAAAGACTCATTGGCGAAGACTAACAAAATATAAAACGCTTGTTTTAGACGAATAACAAAAGCCTTTCGTTTAATCTATGAAGTAGAAAAACGATAGAACACTCTAAGCATTCGAATGGTGTGAAAACATTACTATTGTTACTGATCGGAAGATTACACGAGCTGCAAATTAAGATTTTATACTAGACTACTTATATTTGTGTTTCTTAATTGAACGAAACTTTTCCTTATTTATTGCATCAAAAGAATTAGTTGGAACCATCAACAATGGATAATATCTGGTAAACGATGAGATATAGTTAGCAAATTTGAGATTAAAACTAGAAATTAATCAGCCAAAGACTTTCAGATCCAAACGTTTGAATCTTACCAGTGATCGAAAGCAAAAATAAAAGCTAGCCTAATTCAACACTCTGAAACGATACAAAAATTCATCCATTTTGAAAATGTTTTTTTTAAACTAAATCTATATCAGTTTCAAGCATACAATATTTTTGTTTGATCGTAAAGTGATCCTACTTGTATCTATGCAGATGTCTGAATCTATATGCTGTTAACATTAGTTACCGCAAATTAAATACTACGTAGTAAAATAAATACACTTATTTGATATGCTCTAACGTAAGATATAATTTCATATTCAAACATATTCATAATTATGATTTAAATAAAATGATGTGTAAGACAAAAAGCTTTTCGTACATTTATATCAAATATCAGTTTGTTGTAAATGGAGACTATTTTTTGTGTAATCAGAGTGCTTCTGAATTCAAGTAAAGAAGATGAAAAAAAGTGAGAGTTTGACTGTATCATTTAATGATGGTGATATTCAACACATAGCGACAATGTTTCACATCCATCGATACAAAACAACAAATCAGACTAGGAGAAATCTTGGTTTTTTTCAAGAAAATTTCGAATACGTTGAGCATCTTCTCTGACTTTTTCATCATCGGGCGATAACTTCAGAGCAGCTTCATAATCAAGCAGTCCTACAGAGAAAAATGATAGAAGTAATTAGAAATTAAGTAAATCTCTTAAATACCTTCAGCATACAGTTCTAATTCACAGAAAGCAGTTCCACGACGTACATGTGCTTTTACACGTTGTAATAAATTATCTGGTACCGGTGGATCAAGTAATTCGAGTGCCTAAAACAAACATACAAAATCTAATTAATCAATACACTTCATATGCTTACTCGAGAACAATCTTCAACACATTTCATCATATTCCGCACTTGAAAATGACATGCAGCACGATTTGAATATAATCTTTAAATATAATCAATGCTTAGTAAAATATATAAAATTTAAGTATGTATTGAAATCTTACGTAGCCACTTTCGGAAAAACTCGAATGGCATGATTATATACACCAATGGCAGATTGAAAGTTACCTTGTTGGAAAAATTGACTAAAAAAAAAGAAGTTAGTAGAATTAAACCGAACAAATCTTTGAGAGAATCAATTACTTTGCTTTTTCTTTTAGATAATCAATGTCTTTTTCTTTTTCAGATAAATCAAGTTGAAGATCTGTACTGACTTGGCGACTTTCCACTTGCTTTCGCAACCACTATTACATAGATGGAAAGAAAAAGAATAGAAACATCGATAGTATCTACTCAATCAATTTATCAATAGTTATAGTCAATTTAGTTTCGAATATTTGAATTAAGCAAATAAAAATTAAATGAAATCTTTATGATTCTGTACGGTGTCTATATTAAAAACACTAGAACTCTGTAGTGTTAAACAGTTCTTCATATCACACTTTCTCTGCCATTAAATTATATTTCATTATAGAAAGTTGAAAATAATCACATTTTTATACTTTCATCTTAGCAAAACAACTTCATATAGACATACTTGTTCTTCAATATCTGTTTGAGATTCACGAAGTGGCGTTGGAAAAACACGCGATGTAAAATTGACAGCAATGCGACAAGTTTCTCTAAGTGGAATACTTAGCTTTGGTTCTAAACTGATTTCTACCGTTCTTGATACATCTATATTTATAAAAATGATAATTATAATTTACCTGGCAATGAACTTTTTGAGGTGTTTTCTTCAAAAATCGTTTTTTTCTTTTCTATTACTTTATTTTCTTCAAAAATCATTTTTTTGTTTTCTGGTCCATTATTTTCTTCTCTCAATTGAATTTCATTCGGTTTTATCTACACAAAAAGAAACTTCGAAATTTAAGAGACGAATAATAATTCGTTTTTTGAAAATTTACATGATTCTGCATTGCTAATTGGCGTTGTATTTTTTGATTTTCTTCAAACTGTTTCATTTCTTCGCTAATTTTATCGCGCTCATTCTTTTTAATTGTATCAATGCGATTACGTTCAGCTCCTTCAAGCTACAATAGAACGAATAAAATCAATGAATATAATATCTTCTCAATTGATTTTAATAAACTAACCTTCATTTGTTCTCGAACCGCTTCACGTTTATTTGCGTTTAATAATGATGAGTTTGCTTCAGTACGTTGTTTTTGTTTAAGACCCATTTGATTTAATGCTTCTTCTCGAAGAGCTTTCATTATTTCTTTATTCTCTAAAACATCATAAGAAACAATTATATAAAACAAAAAATAAATAAATGTATAAATCTAACTAACCTGATTGAGGATGTGACAATTGATTCCATTTACGTGGGTTTTGTTTTGTTAAAGTAACTTCAACAAAACCATTCTGTACAATAATACGACTTTTATCATCATTAACAAAATCATAAAGAAAAACTTCATAGAAAAAAGGTGGAAATGAAACCTATAATACACAAGAAATAAAGAATTAATTCAAGATCAACGAAAAAAAACACTTATATAGACATACTTTCAGATATTGATCCGATGAAAGTACATCAAGTTTATTTGCTTTTGCACCTTTCATTGGAATATGCAACACTAAATTTATATCTGTTTCTTCCCAATTAATATCACGTATGATGACTGGCATTGTTTGTTCGTTTTTTTATTTAATTTATTGAAAAAAAAGATATCTTTTATCTGAGAATTAATGAAGAGCTAAAAGTATAACCATTTCTAGAAATTCATAGTTGTCATGCATATCCCCTTTTCTGATTTAATTAGTGACATCTATAATGAAGTTTCTATTCGATGCAACTGGAACCAGTCATCAATGATATTAAATAGATGATAATCATAGACCATCACGGTTTTACATTCAATAACTTATTTATACTTTATGAAACAGACAGCAGTATTAAGGAAGTTTATCGATGATGATATTTCATATAAATTGTTTTCGAAAATTGTGAGAGAAAAAATATACACTGACAATCTTCAACACATGTGTTGATAAAGAAAAAAAATCTGGTGCCTATTATTAGAATCGACCTGCGTGAATGCAAAAGTAATTTTAACTCTTTTGTGCTTTTTCTCTTATTAAAGATGGATCAATGGCTCAAAAAAGTAAAAAATGAAGCTGAAAAAACGAACAATCTACTTCTTCGAGGTGAGTTCAGTTTCGCTTTGTATTCCATTAGTTTTATTCTTTTTTCCTCTTTTCAAGAATTTTGTCAACAACTATTAGGTAAAAGACTTTATTGTCGTCGTTCTAAATTAAATTTCATATATTTCCCGTTAGATTATCTCGCAAATGGAACTACATTACATCATGGAAGGTAATTTTGTTCGTTGAAAATAAATTTATAGCTATATTGTATTTTTTTTAGAGAAAAAACCGTTGAATTTATTCGAAGCTGTTTAGAAACAGAAACAATACAAATAGGCATACTTGTCAGTCAAGGATTTGAGGTTTGCATATATTATTCAACTTAATCATACAATTGTTTCAATAAAGTCGAACGATTAAATAACCCCAGATCGAACAGTCCGACCTGGAAACGGCCGGTTTCGGGTAGTTCCGTTGATTTTGTGGAAGCAGTATTCCAGTTGGAAAATTTTCGGATTTTTTTCCAGCGAATTCCAATCGATTCCTGCCGGAAAGCACCGGAACTTGGCAGGAATTCTCCGGAAAAGTCCGGCCGTATTTTTGACCGGAATACTGCTTCCATGTTCCAGCGATTTCCCGTGTTTTCCTGCAGGATATGATGACTTTCTCGCATATTTCCTGGAGTATCCTACGGGATCCGGTGGCCGGAATGTTCGACCTGGGACATAAGCGAAAATGATGAATTTTCTATTTTGATATGTTTTAGAGTCTGATTCAAGAAGAAGAACTATGCTGTGCTTGTACATCACAAGAAAAACAAGATTTTCTTCAATATATATTTGATGCTTTTCCTAATGGTTCACCATTTGTTGAGCGTGAACTTGTCAGTAGTATTCGTGTTAGTAAACTACTATAAATATCTCTGAACTTTATTCGAACAATTATTTTTTATTTAGTTAATATTAAATATTGTACGAACTCAATGTCTTGTTTTATCTGAACACATAATCTGCAAATTGATTCAAGTAATAGTTAATCTTTTTTAGTATTGAATGTTTCAATTTTTTTTTATGCATGATTAGTTTACATTGGGTGTTTTACGGACAACAAATATTGATTTAAGACGAGAAACATGCCAATTATGTGCATCGAAGCTTGAAGCTTTTTATAATTTTCGTCCAGTGACAACAAAAGAAGTAAATATTATAGATATTTCTAGAATATTTCTTAACTCCATTTTATTTTAATTTAGGACCGTCAATATACAGGTTTGTACTTGTACTGATTAATCAATGTTAATTCTAAAGCTTGTTCTTATATTTCTAAATGTTAGATGATGGATTGATTATTTTCAATTCAACTGAATTAGATTATTATAAACAAGCTTTGACCTTAATGGAATATCAAACATCACTCATTCATGAACTATCAAGAAAACCAGATCAAACACTTCAACGAATATTTATACTTGAGCTTCATGACCTACTTGTAAGATCATTAACTCGTACTGTATATTTTTATCAACCATTTATTGATTTTATTTGGTAAAATTTATTGATGACATATTCTTACTGAAATAAGAAATTATTTATCTAATTCAGGAAAAAATATTCACCAGCTGTTGTTTCATTTCTTGGTAGTCCAATTATTGACGCACGATGTATAATGTATGTCAAAAATAATGCATCTGATCCTCATCTTCGACGAATAGTATACAGGTATAGATTTCGATTTAATTCTGATCAAAACAATAATTTAGAATTAATTAGAATTATTTTAAATCTAATCTGCTTTATTGCACCAATTGGTTCATTACGTTCTGTAAGTGAAACTCTTTTTCAACGATTATGTTTATCACAAACAACTAATGAACGATCGGATCTTCTTATTGTATTAAATGAAGTAAGAAAATTTTTTGAACAAATAAAAATCTTCATTTTTACATTGTCTTTTAATAACAGGTGATTACAAGTCAATCATTAATATCACTTATATCACCACCTTGGATTCATTCAGTAGAGACAACTAATGATTCAGATTTGAGTTTGTTTCGAAAGTAAATTTGTTAAAAACTTTTTATTTTTTCTAGTCTAGTTGAATATTTGTTTGAATTCTATTTAGAATTATTTCAATAATTGCTGAATGCTCATCATCCGATGATCGAATTTTAGTTAATAATGCTTATCTTTGCCTTAATCATTGTCTCGAACAATTAAAGAAATTTTGTGACGAAGCATTATTTTTCGATAATGACGAAGAACAAGCTATTCGAAGACTTTACAAAAAATTTAGTTATCCAATTGTACCATTATTTATTAGTACGGATTATCTTTTAAATTTATTAAAAAATGACAAGCTAAATATTGACGAAGTTTATTTAACATTTGAATCATCAACATTAGATAAAGTAAATTTCTATGCTTACCATTTAAAAATTCTTCTTAAAACAAGCGATGAACAACATATAACAAGTGTATGCGATTTCGATGATGCTTTATTGCAATTTTCATCATTTATAAGTAACGGTAAATATATTTCTGTTCAATTAAAATTTAAAATTATCATATTTTATTCATGTAGAATATTCATCCAAAATTTCACTTTCATCAGAAACGTCTCCAACGGTTGTTACAAATCCCGATGGAGTGTACGCAACAACTATTTGGTTTTTATGGTATTGTTGTCGAAGACAATTACAACAATTATTTGATTCTAATATGCCTTCAACTATTTCAAAAGTAAGTTTTAAGAAAAATGAAAAAAAAAGTGTTTCTTGAATAATTTAATTTTTAATTTGTTTAGAATTCATTTGTAGCTGATATCATGAATAGTGGTTTTATGCTTTGCATTGAACCAGATTGGATGGATACACTATACGATATTTATTTTGAGAAATTTAATATTTTTGAAGATCTTTCAGATCAATTTAAAACAGTTCTTCATCAGATGTTAATAGGTATCTCATAAGAATAAAAAATTGTTTTTCTTTTCTTGTTTCGCTTGAATTTTTTTAATATTTTTTAATAGACATTCGCTCGTTTGATATGCGATCTGTTAAAGCTGCTAGTGGAGATTTAACATCGAGACACGATGCTAAATCAATAGGTATGAAAACTACTAAAATTTGATTGAAATATTTTTCTTCATTTTTACTTAGCACTTTCGATTTGCCATCGCTTGGTACAAATGTGTTGGAGTGCATTATTAGGCGCATTAACACCAATGTTAACAAAGAATCATTCAATGGATTCTGATCTTACATCATCGAATTCAATTTTATCGAATACAATCAGTGAAAAATATATTGAAGCGCATGAGCTTGTTTTTCAAGGTTTAAAATTAGTTTTTCAATTAGCTGTTACTGTTGGTATGTAAATACGATTTTGTTTTTCTCTTTCATAAATAATCAACATTTTGTTTTCAATTAAGGCTTGCCGGATAATGCTTGTTATGTTCTTCATTGTGTTGTCAGCACCATCGAGCAAGGTTGGCTAATGGATAATCAACGAAAAATATTTTCAAAACATCATCGTCTTCACTATCTTGATGTCATGGCTATAAATTTCATTCTTCAATTATATATGAATGACCTAAATGACTGTCCGACTATAATTTATAAATATGTTTTAAGGTATTTTAAAATTGCTTTAACATATATAAAAGAATATTTACGCATAATTGTTCATCTAGATGTTGTGTTCATTTATGTCTGTTGGAAATGCAGTGCTGTCCACCGAAAGAAAAACTTGATTTAACAGTTCATCAGCATGGACATGTTTCATATGAATTGAATAATGCAAAGTAAGTAAATTTTGAGAAAAAACAAAAAAATTTGAAGAAAATATCTTCAATATTATTTTCTTCAAAATAAACATTAATTCTTTGTAAATATTATCTTATCAAATTTTCTTTAGTTCATCATCCTCTTCGAATGATTCATCAACAGCATCTCTTCTACAATTGTCGAATATCGATAAAACTGGTCATATCCATGATAAATCATGCGCAAATATTCTTCAAGCATTATCATGCAGATCAGACAAGTAATTTGCTTGCATTTTGTTTAAAGAATTCAAAAAAGATATTTTTTTTATAGATTATTTGAACTTGTTGCTCGTAATCTCGATCTTGATTCATTACTTGAATTTTTTGAGCAAATTCGTTTACTAACTGAAACACCGATGTCAAAACGAACAAGCGATATTTCACCATTACCTCCGCAGAATCTTTTCCCCATGCATGTAGTTATCGAAAGAGTCGGTGACATGACATTAGGTAATGAAAATCATATTGACATAATCGTGAATAATAACCGAAAAAATATATTTTATTTCATAGGAATTATTGCATCACTTCGACCGCGTTATCATGTTTGTAAAGTGTGGAGTTGTGTTTCGCAATTATTTATTCAAGTAAATATTGATTAAAGATTTCAAACTAGAAAAATCATTTTTATTTTGTAGGGAGCAACACATCGAGATATTCAATTGGCGAAGCGGACTATTTCTCATATGCATAGAGATTTACGCTCGTGGCTTTCTGTTCGTCCAGAATATCCAAATTTTCAATTGAACGAAGCATTTTTTAAACCGTTTGAACACTTAATTTGTACGGAACAATGTGATAGCATTGTTGAAAATCAAGTAAGAAGAAAAAGAAACAAGTTTTTAGTTGTATCCCTTGAAGATCAAATGTTCTTGCTGAAGAACATGAATATTACTAATAAAATAAAACCTTATAAATGAAAAAAAGACATATTTTATCATACTCAGATGAGTTTTTCCATGATACATTACGATCGAATAATATTATTTGCCTCACTTTCGGATTCTTTTCCGTACCACGAAGGGCTTTTAGAAATGAGGGATCAAGTGAAAATCTGTATCGGAATTCTTCTGCAATTTCCTAAGTTTGCGATTTCAATGATGGAAAGTGGCATTTCTCTTTATTCCGGAACCTTTTTCGAAAAGTCTGATGCAAACTACATACTGCGTCAGTGAATCAAGATCATAAGATACAATTCTTTCTTTGTCTCTAATATTTATTGAAGCAAACAATGAAAAATTGTTGCAAAATTCATAGATATTTACTTCAATTGATCTTTTATATAATACAAAAAAAAGTACCAATAGCATTATTGATAGATGACGACGCTTGAGATGAGCTGATAAAAGTGGCATATTCACTTTCTTCACACCGAATGTGATATTCAGTAGACATTCTATAACTCAATGATAAGAAAATAAGAGTAATTTATTATGGAATCAAAACAAATATCTATTTCTGGTCAGCAAGGCTCATTATTGTAGAAAAAAAAACTTCTTTTGGCCTTTTAAGGTTAAACTAAAATGAGTTTAACAAAAATTAGATCACTTTCTTCTATCATAGATTGTGAATTCTATATGTGAACTTGTTGAACTGAATACAAATGCAATAATGTCTGGTTGGCGTTCGATATTTACTTGTTTGAAAGCAGTTAAAATCGAACAACACCGTCGTTCCATTGAAATGAATACGACAACATCAAAAGACAAACAGTACGATGAAAATGAAACCGAACAAGCCGGTGTTGAACTTTACCGAGTTAATGCTATACTAGAAGTTCTTGAAGCATTTTTCTCATGTGAAAATCTCAATGTTATATCACAAGCATCAGTCGATTGTCTTCAATGTTTATTCTGTTATTTACGTGAACCAGGTGAATATAAATTTATTTTTAATATCTTTAAAAAATTATATTCTTAACCCTTTTTATTTTTTGAAGAACCATTTACACCAATGGTTAATAGCCCATTTGGTGATAGTTTTGATGAAAATGATGAAGAACATAATCAAATTGAACTTGTTTTACCAGCATTAAATATGATACAAAAATTTACTACAATTTTTATTCATTGTTATGTGACATCGTCAAATTATGTTTTTGCTACAAAAAAACGGTATAGTTTTTTTTACAAAAAGTTTCCTTTTCTTTTCCTAAATAAATAAATCTCGCTAGTTTTAGAACTCGACAATTCGAATCAACATCATTTACTAATTCGACATTTTCAAATTTTTCATCAACATTCTTTTCATATCTTGACATGTCAACATCAACCGAAACAATTCTTCGATCGTTTGAACTTAAACTTGTTGGTTATATGAGACAATTATCAGATGATCTCGATCTTGTTGATAATACAACTCATCTTCTTAATGTTTGGTCATATATGATTGAAGGTCTTACTGATACAATATTTTCATGTTCAAATCATTATCATATTAAAATAATTGATCAATATTTTGTTATTTTAAAATTAACATTTGATAGCGTCGGCCATCGTTTTTCCATTTATCTTATTTGTTGTGTTATTATTCCATGGTTACAATCATTTGTATGTTCAAATTTTTTAAAGGTAACTTCATCGTTAAGAAAATTAACTATATTTCGACGACATGCACAACGACAAACTTCGACATTTATGAATATAACAGCATGGCGGTTGTTTCTTGGAAATTTACTTGAGCATATTTTGTATATATTTGAAGCGGCTAAAGAATTCGAAGAATATCATCATATTTTATTTGATTGTTTCCAATCTATGTTAATCGATTGGCTTTGTGTTGCAAATGAATATGTTGGTCGACTCGGTAAATATAAATTTCATTTGAACACAAAATGCTTTTCAACATAGTTGTTTGGAAATGAAGTATAGATGATCTCATTTAAACTTTGCAGCACCATGATTTCAATTCAAAGTATTTAAAGTGAAAAATTTCTGCCAGACTATATAAATTAGTTCGTTGTTTAAGGAGACTCGATCATTAAACACAATATTCTATCTTTCATTTTTCTTGATTTCGAACAATATTTTTACATTTACGCTTGTTTATGTTGAACACATGGCAGTTCTGTCAAATCCATCCATCACTACTTATTACCTCTGACATTTTGACGGTTATTCTTAATTCCAAACAGACCATTCGAATGGTTTAGAACACTTCAAGTCGGATTATTAATGTCTTTTTTTTGTCTATTATTAAGACGTTCAAGAAAAACAATCGGAAACCTTCCGTAGCTGATGACTGTAAAAATGCCCAAATTTCTATAAATCTTTTTATTAATTTCTAGAGAAGGAATTAGAAAAGTTAAGAACCCTTCACTTCAAATATCTATCCATGATATATTTCTTTTGAAAAGAAAACATGATGTACTTTCTACGTCACTTTTTGTTTCAAATTATCTTTAGGTTTATCATGTATTAAACATCTTATTTCAAATATATCAAAAAAATTCGATCAATCGCTTAAATCAATATGTATTGATAATATTCAACATGCACTTTTACTAACATCATTACCAACGGAATATTTAATGTATGAATTTCTTGTTTCATCACCCGAAGATCTTCTTCATAATGTACGTGTTTACGTACAAAATGATTCCAATGCATCTATTTTATCATCGTATGGACTAGCCAATGGTGATATTTCTATTTTCCCACTATGTCAACAACTTTTTAATGAACATCATCAACCTCAACCTCAACCTCAACCTCAACAGCAACAGCAACAGCAAAAGGTTATCGAAGGAAAATTCTTCCGATTTACATTCCGAACAAAAACAGCAATCATAAATGATCCTAATCCGCATGAAATACAAATGAAAAATTTTGTTTTTCTAAATTATTTTCATTTACAATTAATTCATATTGTTGGTGAATTGAATTGGTCTGAATTAATACCTTGTTTAATTCAAACAATTGATTTAGCTGAACGTTTTGATTCAGCTGTCAGTAATTTTGGTTTAAGAAATATTTTACAACAATTATTTACTTTTGATCCACCAGCTGTATCGTTTCAGCATATTAAACGTATTGCATTCCAATATCTTGTCGATCACTTAATGCCTGGCGTTAAAAATGAACTTGTGAAACAATCTATTCAATCAGCTAATTCGAATTTACAACAAGTATAACTAATAGATAAGATAGTATTAAATATCTATTTATTTTATTTTTTTCTCTTCTAGGAAAATGACGAACAGATAGATAACAATCTTGATGAATATGTATCATTTCCCGAGACACTATCACCCTCACAAGAAATAAATGGAGATATCGTGAAACAGAAAGGATTTTTTAGTCAATTTACATCATATATTATTACAAATCCACACAATTATATTGGTCTACTAAAAATGCTTAGTGATGGAATTGCTGATATACTTTTTACTGGTTTAAATCGATTTGAAACTTGTACAGAGGTAATAAAAAAATGACAGAAAGATAAAATTTAATGTTCTTATTAACCATTTGTTATTGTAGATGAATCAAATAGGTTTATATCTTTTACGAGCAGATCAAGACCTAATTGATAGATTTATAGCAACAACAGCACAATCTACTTTAAAACAATGTCCTGTATCTGAAAATGAAATTGAATATTTCATTGTTAATCAAGATATGATTTGTCGTGTATTAAATGATCATAAAATATTGCGTAAAATCGATTTAGCAAATTCAACATCACCTGATCGTCGCAAAAGTTCATCAACTCCGTTACAATCACCATCACTACCAAATTATCATCCATTCTTATCACAATCTTTATTTAATGACACGACAAAAAGCCCTACGTAAGTTATATTCAATTATTCAATTGAAAGAAAATTCTTATTTCCATATTTTAGTGATGATCAACGTACATTTCAAGAGACACTCTCTATGCGAAATACAGAACATATATCAATTGCTCTTAAACTTTATGTCGATGGATGGAATGATTTATGTTTGTATTTAGCTACAGCACTACAAGAAAATGGTTGTTTGTGTTCACCGATAGGAGCAAGTAGTAATCTTCTTATATCTTCTCTTGAACGATGGTTATTCGTGTGTGCAACAAATGCTACTAATCGACAACTGAAAAATTTACTTTTGGATATTTTAATGAAATATGGAGGAAAAGAAGCAATTATCACGCGTACATAAATTTATAGATATTTAATAATGATCTGATAGGTTAGTCTCAGTACATCAAATTAATACAGTGAGTCGTATTTTTGTGCAATATAGTCAATAAAATTTGTGAATGTTTAATTCACTTTGTAATCATATTGTTTAAGTAAACGTTTTATTTTATTTTATTCTATTTTATTTGTTTGTGGGATCTTATTATTGTTATGTTTTGTTTGTTTTGGTGGCAGTATTTAACAAAAATAAAACAGCACATTCGTGTCAGTCTTATGTGTACCATAGAAAATTATTTGAAATGCATAGTCTTCTTAATTTCAATGGCTCTCATTTTTATGAATTTGACGATAAGCATTGACTATTTTGATTGAGACTTGCCATTTATAGCCTATTTATGTTTCTCTTGGAGAATGCTTATGAGTGTATCATTAAAAGAGAAATGGAATTCAACATAACTTCAACTACAAGTCCATGTTCGTGGAGATATTTTTTCTTCAGTGAATTTGTATATTCGATGCTTCGATAATTTTGTACTAGCATAGAGAGCAATATAGTATTGATATCATAGTAAAAGTGATGGTGGTCAGACATGAAGTCTCACAACTGAAATGAACTTGAAAATGATCTGGTCGGATAATGCTTTTTTCTCACTCAAAGATCCAAAAGAAATAATGCATTATTAAAATGATATATTTCTTACGAGTTTTATCTATTGGGACTTGAAGAGTTTAGAAAACTTGATATCATTTAGCCCTTAATGCATGTAAGTACTCTTCACAGTAGAGTTTATAGACCATTGAAAAAGAATTATTTCTTCACTCCTAAGAGGTATATTAAAATTATTTGTTTCTTTTTGTCTATTTTTCAACAGAGGTCTTCATAGACTAAACCCCCTCCCATTATAGAAGATCCCCCTGGAGAAAAAGTTTGTCCGGCGTAATAGAAGACCCCCCCCCTTTTAATTAATTCATTTTTTGCTAATTACGAACTTTAATTAGTGTTCTTCCATCGAAAGATACCTGATTCTTAGCATTTTAAGCTGGAAATATTAAGAGAATGCTTTCGCCATTATAATGACACCTTTAAACCCCTGAAAATCGTGATGGAAATTCTGAAAATCGCCGTAGTTTTCTGGAAAACCTTTTAAACTAAATATTAGGAAAAAATGCGGTTCTTAATAGAAGACCCCCCTGGGAAATTTTTACACTGGAACATAATCCAAGGCACGGGTTCTTTTATTTTGAGGGGGGTTTAGTTTTAGGGAACTAGGTACGAATTATGATTAAAAGCAACTATTTTACCGATTAATGAATCATGTGATCGTTTTTATGTCAAAAGTAGGCATAACTTTTCATGGCTTACAATTTTCTAGTGTACTTTATATGTCTTCTTATGGGTCGGTTAGTAAAGAAAGAAAATAGAATCAATACTTTTTTCATATATGTCTATATTTTTGAACGCATCCCAATGATGTTCATCTTTCTTGTCTACTTGTACCTAATAAATAAATGGGCTCTTTTTCAACCATTTACCCCATCTATATGCAATTTGGAACTATATTTTAAGAAAATTGAATGAACCCAGAATTATTATTCTTCGAATAACTCGTTCCGCAACACTAGTTATTGTGTTTTGGGCGAATCGGCATGGAGAATCAACGTAGAAATGAAGTTGACATGTCTATATTAACATTCGCTTCGTCGGTTCGTTTCTCAATGGTCTATAGTGAGAAGTTGATAGCTTTTTCTATGTATCGGCCATGAAGTTGCTAATATAGAACGATCAAGTAGAATAACTTGTAGATTATATTTCGTGCATCATTGAGATCTTAGTATCTTCCATTCAGATTATCTTTTGTCAATGTTAGATATTTTCACGATGAATGAAATTTTTGTAGTATGTAGAACAGTGAAAATAAATAGTACAAAAAGAAAAGCAATGTTGTTTTAGTCGAATGGCAAGAAAAAAAGATTCACGACTATTAAAGTACTTATAAACGGATAATCGATTATCATACAGTAACAATAAAACTTACTTGTATAACGATGATAACACATAAGCTATTTTGTATGCCTAAACTATGGTAGATAAAAGCAAATATTATATTTTTGATTGATGTATTAAATATCATATTTTCTAGATACAATTTCAATTTCGGTTAAATCTTAGTGATATCTTTGACGAAATTGTATAATGAATAACATCTTGAGTTTTTCTTTTCTTAAACAAAAACAGTGTTGTGTATTTTTATTCATTTAGAAATCTGTTACAAATCTAACAAGCAGTCCTTTATTATTTTTTTTACAAAGAAAACATCTTCCTTTTATCCATTGGTTCTTGCCCAAAATTTAATTATATCAGGAATATGTTCTTGTAAAAGAGTAATATTTGTTTTTTCACGATTTTTATCAGATGTTTCTTGTGTTTTACTCGTATGTTTAAGATAATAAGCTTCATCTTCTTTACGGATTAATCGCCAATCAGGATTGGTAGCACTTGGAATTTTCGTTTCCCGTCCACTATTTAGCACAAGACCATTCTCAACTATACGCCCAACAAATTCACTTTGAGTATCGGGTAGTTTTCGTGTAAGTACCGTTATTTCGTCGAGTTTACCAATGATTACTTTAGGTGGTGTTTGTGTTATCATTGGACGACTTTTGGTTAAGACAACATAGGATACTTCTACAGAATGATAAATAAAGATTTTAAGCATGTACCACTGTGAAGAGTATTACCTTTATTTTGATCCTGAGCTGTACGTACAAATAAACGGCCAATACCAAAGTTTTTTAGTTTTGAACATAGTTCTGGCAAAGTATTGCCAAATGACAAACTGATCTGTCCAATAAACTGAACGCGTGGCATCTGAATAAATGAAAGAAAACTGTTTCTGTCTGCTCGAATCATTATCCTGTCCTGTTTTTTTTATTCAAAATAACAACAATGAATGTTGACGGATATAACAAAGAAAAAATCGTTTAGTTTAAGCAGACAAAATAATAATAAAATTCTTGTTTTTTTTTCGTTTCCGATTACGGTTTGTATTCGACTTCTTCTGTTTTAATGAGAAATTCAACAACTTCTTCACCAACATTGGATGGCTGTTGTTCAAACAATGAATCTGTATCGACACCACCACGCAATTGCATACGTTGTTGTCTTTGTATAGCCAAACGTTTGATATTTTTCTCTTTAAATTTTTGAAATTCATCTAGTTGTTTTCGTCGTTGTTCCTGTTGTTTAGCGGATTCACCGGTACGTAAAAGTCGATCGCGTTGTTCTAATTTCGGTGTCCATACTGATCGATTTCGACGAACTTCCTAAAAATTGTTTGAGACAAAAATATAAAAACCAAATGAAAAGAATTATTTTTCTGACGCGAATCATTTCTTCTGTAAGCAATGATGGTGGTCGAGGGCGCCAATGAAATGCAGCCAATCGTTCAACATTTTTTTCAAAAACCAATGTACCCTGAAACGTCCAAACTTTGAATGAATGGTCACGCTAAAATTTAAATAAAAAGGAAAGTCAGCATAGCATAGCTTAAATGTCATCAATATACTTTAGCGTTCCATAAGTTAACATATGATGTAAAGTAACGTCCAGTTGGATCCCATTCGACATCAGATAAATCAGGATGTTCTTGTTTCGACATTATTGACATATCATTAGCATCGACAAATATTAATTGTCCACCAGATGATGCACTATCAGTAGACAAACGACGCATGAATGAAAAATACATCTTAGTCAACAAAAAAGGAATTTACCCAGTTTTCATTGCAGCTAATACGACATATTGACCATTGGGTGCCCAGATTGCATTCGTTACTGGTTGTGCCATTACTTTAAGTGCTTCGATTTTTCCACTCTTTTGTCCTTGACCCATTTTATAGAAAGTTACATTAGTTCGTAGACTTTCGCCTGTGATAACAACTAATTTATGTCCGGCTGGTTCAATAGCAAATGATTGAATTGTTTCTAAATAATATGATAGCAATATAAACAATATTTTGATACGTTATTTTCTGTTTTAGTTACCTTTTACTTCTAGAGTATCTAATGGAACATTTTTTTCACGCATATGAAAGATTTCAAAGTTGTAAATCAAGCCCTATTAAAACATGAAAAAACAGATATTAAATATAACTCATTAGTTGAAGTTTCATAGTTCAATCACAAATAATTGAAAAAAATACTCAAGTTTGATCACAACCATTTATCAACTCATTACCATCAAAAGACAAGAAATTTATGATGATGCCATTTCAGATACTACTAGAGAAACTAGTGTTTTCATCGTAAATCCTTTATATTTAGGTTTATTCAAATAGGATCATTGAATTCTATCAGAATTTACTGTAATGTAGTTGCGGGCAAAATATCATACAAAGATAATGTCATCGATTTCTGAGAATAATTCCATCTACTATCTGGAAAAATTAAATAGAAATTCAACTTACCGAATATTTTGGATTATTCTTTTCTCCACTCTTCTTTGCATATCGATCAACTTTAACAACAAGATAGTCGCCACGTTTTTGCCAACAAACTTTACAATCGATAACATTAAACAAAGTCTAACAATAAATCACATGATAGCATCAGGAACATGAATGATGAAAAAAAATAATATATACTTTCGATCGAATTTCTTCCAATCTAACACCATTAATTTCTGCAAGTACTAAACGTGCCGGTACATTGCCATCTTCGGCTGTCCAATAAGCAATACGATTATCGGTCGGTGACCATTGAAAATCAGCAAGTGATGGAACTTTAAATGGTTTCTTATCAACTAATTGAAATGTCTACGAAAAAAGATATGTCATATTTACTTTTCACTATTGAATGATGTACTTACTTCTCTGTCATACATGTAGATACCATCGGGACCTTGTTTAGCAAAATATTGATCTTGATAAGACCATCTAATGAAATAGAAAAATAAAATATAGTATTCTTATTAACTTTTTAATAGTTCCAAAATATAAGAATAGTAATCATAAAACAAAGTCAGTTTATCGCTTCGGCAGTTATGTCATGGCATATACATTCAAGAAAAAACGCTTATGCATTTAACTCGGCCTTTTCATTTCATCATTCTTTGTTTTACTGTAATCTCTTATACGCGTAGAACGACAATGGCAAGTAGTGTCACTGATGTTATGCGTTAGAACGAAGAGAAAGTGAACTTTGTGGGACTCGAACCAACACCTTCCACTATGACGCCGAATGTCCTAACCAATTAGACTAGAAGAACATCTTAATCTTCGTTTACCATCAGTATGTTTCATCATTGACACTAACATTTATATAGATTTTTTTGTGTAAAAAAGCATATATTTACTTGAAATACGATGGACCTTGCGAAGTATGTTGCTCAAGTGGGAATGAACGTTTCCTTTGTCCAGTTATGATATCCCAGATAATAAACGCATCAGGACTATTTGGACGAGGTGAAATAGTGACTAAATAACGTTCACCGGGTGAAAAGTCAATGTAATTCACACCACGATGAGCAAATCTAAAGACAAACATCATTATTCATTTGATAGTTTTATTAATAAGTAGACCATTTCGTGAGATGCTAATATATATTTACCTTTGCACTTGACGAAATTCTTTGCCACCCCAAAAGGCAATACCTTGTTCATGAAATGATGCTAAATAAGTACCTTTTGGTGACCAAACAAAATTATTTTCTGTCCATTTCTAATTTTCAGAAAATAAAATAAGAAATAAGATCAGTAAAACAAAAAAATTTTATATTTTACATTTCGATCTTCGATAACAATTGGTCCCGATAAAGAATTAGCATAAATGGTGGTTTTTTTTGGATCATCTGATTGAACAGCAAATTGGTCAACAGCATCAGGTTCAGCTAGCCAAGAAAATAAGTTACCCTATTGAAATTTAGAAAACAAAATTCGCTCAATAACACAAGCAAATAAATTTGTATCGTACAGTGTCAACAGGTTCAGGAGGAACTTGCGTTAACCTAAATAAAAATGAAACGGAAGTTTTTGATTTCTATTTTATCAAAACTGTTTCTATACCGTTCAAAATCCGACATTAAATTAACAGAGAATGTATGATTTTTATCTAATCGGTAACCATCAGTTTGTTTGACTGCTTCTGAAGCCATATGTTCATTTTCAAATTCAAAAAATCCATAACTATTGTAAATGAATAGTTTTAAAAATTTGGTTTTTGCAAAAATCAAAATTTACCCTTTTGTTTTTCCGTCACCATCCAGTGGATAGTATTCATTTCGACAGACACCGAATTTACTATAAACTTTTGATATGACTGCTTTTAATTTTTCGAGCTTTCCTTGGTCGACTTTTGGTAAATTATCAACCACTATTATGTTATTTAGACTTTCATGTTCTTTCGGGCGCTCGGCCATCAAATCCGGACATAGAGCTAACAAAAATGAAATAAAGAAAATAATTAATTTTTTTTTAGTAAAACATTTTACTATCATCAGGAAAGTCTGCTCCATAGTCATCATCAGAAAAATCAGGTGTTGGTTCTTGATCTTCTTTTCCCTAGAACAATGGATGAAATGTATTTTTAAAATTGTTTTCTTTGATAAAACAAACCTGTTCATCGTCTTCTTGATCGCCAGACTGCTCATTATTATTTGCAGACGAGCTTTCATCGTATTCATTGTGTGGCTGCTCAGCATGTTGGTGGTCACCAGTATTGTCAGTGTCGAATGGTTGTTCGGGCATGATGCTGTTTTTTCTTCTTGTATTAGAGAGTATCTAAAAAATATGAGTTAAAAATTAACGTAAACGAGATTTTCCATCGTATTTGAATGAAGAAGAATTATGAAAAAAAAATACATAGCCATTGTTTACTCTCATTTGCCAATCAAGAAATGAAGATTTTCATTTTGTCATCATTGGTGGCTTTGATAAACATATGGTAGATGACTCTGTCGGCTGTTAAACATTCGAAAGAAAACAAATATAGATATCGCTATTCTACTACAATGTTATAGTTTAGTTTTCACTTAGAGAATTTGATGATAGACGAATCTATTTTCTAGGATGTTTTAATGCCATGTTTTGATTTGTTTGTTAAAAGCAATCGTCGTTTCGTATTTGATGGTTTTGCTACAGAAAGTTTATAGAAATGCGGATAGTTACAAGTACTTATATTTTATCTAACGGGTGGCCCAGAATAAATTATACCATTCGTGTTTTGAATATGACTCTTCTACTATCCATTAGATCGGCACATCTTTTTAAACTAAAAGATGGCGCTTGAAATTCTCTACAAAACCGTATATGGGTAAAACTGAAAAGTCGTTCGCTTTCATTTTAAAAAATATGAAAAGTAAAGATATATAAAAAGTTGTAATAATTAAATATGAAAATGGTAATGGTCCGGCAAAAATCGTTCGAGATTTAGCCAGGGCTATTTCATTACCCACAATTAAATTGTGGATAAAAATGATCAACACTACTGGTTCTATCACGCTGACGTCTCCTCCAGGTTGTCCACGCGCGGTCCTTACAAATGCCACTATTGTGAAGGTTAAAAACCGTTTAAATCAAAAGAAACGAGTGTCTACACGAAAATTAGCTAAAGATCTGAAAATTTCTAGAACGGATGTACAGCGAATACTCCGAGAAGATCTTGGATGTAAGCCGTACAAAAAGAGAAAACAACCTAAGCTAAGTAATCTTCAGAAAACTAGGAGGATTAAGTTTGCTAATTGGGTGTTAAATAACTACAGCAAAGATGACACTAAAAAATGGCTTTTCACAGATGAAAAGCTCTTTGATTTTGACGGCATATACAATTCACAAAACGATCGGGTGTGGGCGGTCAGTAGAGAAGAAGCTGATAGAAAAGGTGGTTTTCGTGAGAAGACCAAATATCCAAGAAAAGTGATGGTGTGGCTAGGTGCATGTGTTGAAGGTCTAACTACACCAGTCATTTTGGAAAATGGAACGATAGATGCAGAGGTTTACATCAATGACGTGCTTCCAATAGCTCTAAAATGTGATGATAAAATGTTAGGGAGCGATTGGACTTATCAACAAGATGGTGCTAGACCTTACACACATCGTCTCACTCAAGAATGGTGTGTCGAGAATTTTCCTGACTTCATCTCCAAGGAGCGTTGGCCACCCAATTCACCTGACTTATGTCCCTTGGATTACAGTTTATGGAACGAGTTGGTTCAATGTATGAATTGGAATCGAATAACAACAAAAGCAACATTGATTGAAGAAATATAACGTTCCGTAGCAAAAGTTGACAAAAAAAGAATTTTAAATTCTATACTGGATTTTACTATAAGATTACGTATAATTAAAAGAAATGGAGGAAACTATATTCATTAAATCAAATATACTATTATTTATACGTATAGATTTTGCGTCAAGTTTTATATTTGATATTATTGGTGAATTTGAATTTATTGATTGTATACCCAGGTCGACTAATCCGACGACGGGTTCTATCGGGCCCTAAAATACCCTACTAACCGAGGAAATACAGTTGGATTCTGGGTTTCGGAACTATTGACGGGTTCAACGGAAGCATTTAAAAAAATATCAAAATCCTATTTAGTGTAAAAAAAGCTCTTTAAAGGTTGACTATAGCAGGCGTTTTTGTCGCATAGGATCCTGAAGTAGGATACGATCGGATAGTATCGGAATCCGACGGAATCTGTCGGTTTTCATGTAAGATCCGATTGTAGGAATGAACGACCTGTGATACGATGAAATAAATGATTTCCACGCATAATCTATATACAAATACAAGATTACAATCTGATCCATGCGAAAATTTAATTCAATGGATACCGTAACACAAATCAAAAATAAATGAAAATTCCATAAATAAAAATGTTTTTGTTTTATCTAGTGATTAATAAATTCATCATAACCAAATATAGTTGAACGAGAGCCGTGACTTGATGTTGGATTTTTCTATTAGATAAAAGATATATTTAAATTATTTAAAATAAAAATGAAACGAATTTACCTGTCAACTATATGTAAACTTTGATGTTTTCTTTGAATGCAAATCAAGAAGATTTTTATAAAATTTTGTATTTCGTTCTGTTATAAAGCACAATATGTTATTCGTAATGCATCTAGATCTAATATATGAAGATTCTCAAGCAAAGGATAGTTAAATAGAATAAAATTAATTAAAAAAAAATAAAGAACTGTTTTTTGTTTTTCTGCTTTTGACTTTATAAATCAATGACAACAAGATCGTTTGCAAGTGAAATAACACCCAGGAGAATGATTCCAATAGTGGGAGTCTATCGGATTCGTGTCGGAATCTTATCGGATATATATAGTATGGATTTCATTAAACCGACTAAATCCTATCGGTACCCGGATGTGGGGCCTACAATCGGCACCCTAGTGTTGAAATCCGATAGGTCCAAGTGTTGGAATTTAACGGAATCCAGCATAAGCATTCGACCCATGTTTTCTGTTGACAGCATATGCTTATACATTGGTGATTAAGAAAATTGTTTTTCCCGTCGGATCCGTTAGTAGGTCCGGGACACGGAATCTGTTTGGATTTTGTCGGCTTGTCAAATTCCATGAGATCCGGTAGGATTTACTGTCGGATTCATTCCCAGGTCTAAGAGTCCGGCCTGGAAACGGCCGGTTCCGGTTAGTTCCGTTGATTTAGTGGATGCAGTATTCCGGTTGGAAAATTTTCGGATTTTTTCCGGTGATTTCCGATCAATTCCTGCAGGAAGGCACCGAAACTTGACAGAAATCCCCCGGAAAGCCCAGCCGTATTTTTGACTGGAATACTGCTTCCATGTTCCAACGATTTTCCTTGTTTTCCTGCAGGATATGGTGACTTTCCCGCATATTTTCTGGAGTATTCTACGGGATCCGGTGGTCGGAATGTTTGACCTGGGAAAGTGAAAAATAGCCACGGGAAAAATATGATATTGTTACGCTTTGAAATGTGCCTGATTTTTCTGTACAATTGGTTTTTTATTTGCCCCATATTAAAAAACTAACTTAAGAGTGCATAAGTGAATTCATTTTAGAAATGATGACATGAACCAGTCACATCAGTCAGTAGATCATAACATAACAGGTATTTTACATCAAGCAATTGGTGGATGAATAAGAGTAAAAATTGGACAATGATTCTATTGGTTAGAACGCAAAAGGATAAGCTAACTTCACTCCGATGAGTCACAAGTCAAAGCGAGTTATATATTTTCAAGTTTTTCTTCATTGATTTGTGGTTAACATTTCAAATTAGGCAAATGAATATGGAAATTGAAAAGCTTGATATTGATTCAATATTTGTAAAATATACAATAAATGAAATACGCGACATAGACGAAAAAATCAAAGCAGATATGGAAAGAAAAAAAGAAGAACTAAGATCAATGGTTGGGTACGATATAGTTGAAAATGTTGTTTTCTTTTTCATTTTCTTTTCAAATTTTCTTTTTTAGAGAACGGTATCGTGATCTGATTGAAGCAGCTGATGCAATATTCGAAATGAAAACATGTGCTAAAGGAGTATGTGATTTTTAATCAATCGAAATAGTAGTCAGCTGTGCTGTTCATATTTCAAGGTCGAACAATTTGTACATTTACTCAATGATAAATGTAGCAAAGTTGATCATACATTACTCACACAATCGACATCATCAAATACGGTAACCGATAAACAATTGTCTAGATTAACATTTGTTGTTTCAATAAAAATATTAACTGAAACACGACGACGTTGTTGGATGTCTTTAGAAGAAAATAATTTTGCGGCAGCAGCTCGGTAACTTCTTTTATTTTCTTAGATCATAAAAATAATGGTCTACATTTTTAGTCAATATCTATTAGCTCAACATATGGCTAGTAGTTTATCGTCGAGTACAAATGATGAACAATTAGATAGTGATTCACAGAAGTCTATTGTAGCTGCCACTCGATTATGGCATCAAACTCGACAGATGAAAGCAACAATTTTAGACAAATGTCGATTATATTTAAAGAACACTGATACTGATGATCAAGTAAATAGTCTCATCGAAATATAGTCTAACAATTTAGAAGATAATGAATTTCCTAATTTGTATCTTTGATTCTATTTCCCGTATTTCAATGCTCGAATGAATCGAATAGCCTTTCGACTAGATCTATTTATTCACATTCATGAGTATTCAGGAATCTTCTGAAATACATGAAACAATATTTATAGTGATGAACCAAGAATATTTTACTTAATATTTAAATTCTTCTTTGAATATGCTATACTAAATAAACTATAGAATAACTGTCCTCAATAGTTCATTTTAATGTAGAATTTTTTCTAGTCAAAAGATTTGATTGTTCAATCGTTTGTGTTTTAGAAAAATAAAAGTGAAATATTTTGCTGACAGACTTGTGAATAATAGATATTGTTGGAATAGTTTATGAAGTCCAAAAAGTATAGTTTCATATAACAATAGTGAAAATATGCGTAACAAATCGTCACTATAACTGAGTTTCTGTGCTGTTCAACGATGACTTTGCTATTTTCGAAAAGGGATACATTTTTGTTTCTGATTTTCACTTGTTGAAAATAATTTTTAATGAGTCAAAACTGAGCATGTATCTTGTCTGCAAAACTAATCTGTCATTCGATATTATTTTTATTAAGAAATTGAAAAAAAGAGATCACCTTGTAAATTATTTTCTTGATTTAGATTTTTAGAAAAAATTCTCATCTGTTAATACTTTTATGCATACTGTGGCATCTTTGTATCATTTAGACTCTTGCTAATGCTCTATCGACTCTTATTGCATTTGGTGGTAAAACAGTAGAACAAACATTAAATGAATTTCTTACTGCAAAATTGGTTTGTCTATTATTGCACATATGCGTATCATCATTTTCATATTTAATTATTTAGGATACAATTAAAGAAACCTATCAAAATGTAGATTCGAGTAATTGTTCTTTCTAAAATATGTATGTTAAAGATAATCTTTCTAATTTTTATTTAAGAGCAAAGTTCAAAAGATACAGTTCGACAATTACTCGTGCTATTTATCAATACAATTTTTGAACTAGATATTCTCTTCAGCAAAAATAATAATAACATTGGTATGAATAGAAATCTGTTAGTATCAATATATTTTCATGCTTCCTTCTAGATAAATATGATCAATTAAAAAAATATGTTTTAACATTCTATAATACATCAAATGATATTGATAGTTCAAAGATCGATAATATACTGTCATATGGACAACAACATATATTAAATATTGAAGAGACATTTTTTAAAAGTAAATTTTTGAAAAGCTTTATATTTCGTCGCTGCATTACAAAAATCATTTCAGATTGTGAACCTGTTGATCTTTCTGAGTATGAATCTCGACAACAAGAACTTGTTCAAAGTACTATAGAGAAATGGTTACAAATGTAAGAAAGAAAGAGATGCGCTTTTTTTTCAATTCATTCTTTATTTTTCTAGCGTGTTAGAAGCAGTTAAAACGGGTATACGTGAATTATTGAATCATACAACATCACTCAAACCATTGCTTCATCTTAAATTAAGCCTTGTTTCATTAATGACTGAGGTATGTTGTCTAATTTGAAACAAAAGAAGTCAAAAACCATTATAATTTCACCAAAAACTAAACGATTCATTTTTTCAAAAATGCATTCAACTCTTGATTTTCTTTTAGGAACGTATGGAACAATGGTCAATAGTTTGCAATCGTCTATTAAATGGAAATAATAAACATATTCGATTATGGGATGATTTGATTAAAGTTGAATTACGTGCGCGTGCTAAAGTAAACGAAAATAATATTAATAAGTATTTTGCTATGATTATTAAAATAATTCTTCTATTTTCCAGCAAGTACTTCATGTTCGTTTTGATCAATTTAATCAAACAACAATACAAAAGATTGAACAATGTCTTAAAGCATTTCACAATTCTACAACTAAGATTGATAAGTGAGTATTCATTCATTATGAATCTCATATTTTATTTACAAAGGCAAAGAATTTTGAATAACCGCAGCGAAACATTCAGAAATCATACAGAATGTTTCAATGAACAGCATATTTTACATTTACGACTGTTTTAATTTTTGCACATATAATAATGATATGTAATACACATTCGTCATATTTATCACCGATTACGAATATATAAATCTTAATTTGATCATTTTTTAACTAAAAGATTGATCAATATCAATATTTCTGAGTTCATCGAAAGAGAAAAAGACAAACTATCGCTCTAGCGATTGATTATCTTCAGAAAGCAATTATAATCTGACGTGCAGATGTTTCATGGATAAAATTTTCTAGAAATATGAAATGTAATTATAGAAGCCGCTTAGTTGTGTGTTTTGTTTTCGATAGATAACTATTGAAGTATTTTCATTTAGATCATCATTGGAATTTAATGTTTTGAATTATATATGGAGTGATGTGGATAATAATACTCCAAGTGATTATGTATGGACACCATCTACCCATCGAAATCCTGTTGGTGATGCAAAATTTTCATTAAAAGCTGTTGCTATTTCAATGGATCTTCAGAGGTAATTTAATTTTTTTTTATTCACAATCTGAATAATCGTCGTTTAGTTTATGTCGAGAGTTGGACGATGAATTAAGACAAATTCTTGATGATGTTAATGAATTTTCTGTCGCTGATGTTAGTTCAATGTCATCCATATCAGATACAAGTCTATCAACAACAAATAATAGTTCTAATTCTTCGATTTATTCTGATAGTGGATTTGTTGAGGAACATCTTGAAGAATGTGTTATTCAATTTTGTACAACGTAAATATAGATTTTGTTTTGTTTGTCTTAAAAAAAATACGGAATTGGTAACTATCTAGATTACTTGCGCGTCTACGACAAATAGCAAATGAAAATGAAAAAATTGGAAATGAAGAACAAACTTTATCGAGGTTTTTTTTTTGTTTTGATAGACAAAAGCAAGAGATCTATATTCGATTTTTAGTTTGATTTGGCTTGGTTCATGCTCACGAGCAATACCTATTGCTTGTAAGAATCTCAAAAATTCGCTCGAACTTGTTACGAATGTTGCAGATTCTGCCACTAGTCCGATAGCGGATAGGTAAACATGCAAGATATATATTTGTATATTTGTAATAATTTTCATTTTTAGAAAAATTCGAGGAACCTCTCAAACAAAACGACCATTGGACAAAGTGAGTCGCGTATAACTGTTTTGTTATGCTTCTTGAATATTATAAGATAGTAACGTTAATACAACGAAGTGAACTGTATTATTGAAGTTGTAATTTATTTTAATGAGTTTGCTCATTTTAAAAACAGATATAGGACGATTAAGTTGATATCTCGTCTCTTTATTTTAAAGATGAAAAATACATGAAGTTCTCTTCGTCAATACAACAGAAAAGCTAGGAATAGAGAAAACATATTTGTTTGATGCATTGATTATTTCGTAGTGAATTAGTCGTCTTCTAAAATTAGTATGAGATTCGCCACGAGCACAGTATTATAGAAAAAAGATACTGAAACACATTTTGCTCAGCCGATGTGACGATATTCAAAGTGCTGAAAAAGATTTAAAGTTGGGAGAACTTTTATCGTTACGTATTCTCAGAGATATTTAGCTCCAAGTACTATTGAATTGTATCCTTTTTTCTTTTCTACAAAGGTAGCTATTATTCAAACATGATTGCATCATGGTAGATTTTTCACTAGATTACTGTTTCGTGAAATTGCTAAGATCCAACTAGTTCTTTTCATACATATTCTTACTCTATATTATGTAACAATTGATTTTAGAATGAAAAGACTTCATGGTTGAAAACTCGCGAAATGTTTACGACCGCGCATATTGATCTATTTAAGTAGGAAATTTTGATTTATTCTTCGTAGCATTATTTTTAAATTTTCTTAGACAATGGATAATTCATATATGTGCTAAAATCGATATGGTTCTACGAAATAAATTGTCAACATTTCTCGATGAAATACCAACACTTGTAATTATTCTTATTCAAATGTATCATTATTGATTTATTCTTCTATTTATTGTTCTTTAGGTTTGGGATGAAATTGAAATTGAAGAAAGTCTTGATACTGATAAAACCTATAAAAGTGTTATACGTGTTCCAATGTATTGTACGCCATTTATCGAAGAGCTTCTATTTTATTCCTGTCAAGAAATCAATCAGGCACTAGCACATGGTTTGGACAAGTAATTGAAGATTTAATTCACTACATTCCTTTCTATTTTACTTCATTGTATTTTGTTTTTAAAGAGAATTATCAAGTGAAATGGCTTATCGTATTTTACAAACATTTCTAAATGTATATGGATCATGGTGGTCAACCGAAGGCCAACAACGAGCTAGTAGAAAACGTATACAAACACGCATTATTCAAATAGTATACGATCTTCGATTTGTTCATATGCTATTGGAACGCAAAGATAACAGTATAGTATGTTAATTTTAAAATAAAATGAATAGAATTTCCTATAATTGACATTTTTTTTTATATAGAACACAAAAGATATTAATGAACGATTTTTTAAATTAGTTGAAAACATTGAAAGTGAAATCGATCCATTTGATTTAAATGTTCTTTCACCATATATGCAAAGTCATTTACAAAAAATCGTTCCTCGATCTTCAGTAAGAATATAAATAATTACAATGATTTCCATAATTATTTCATTTTTAGCTTTTATTTGGACATTTGATAACAAACGATCGTCTTGTACCATCAAAACCATTGACAATGAATAGTCAAGACACAAATAATATTCTTTCACTTTCTTCGTGTACACAACGTTTTTCATTACTACCAATAGCAACTAATCTTTCTTCAATATCATCTGGACAAAAACCATTATCAAAAGGAAATATTCTTAAATCAAATATAATTCATGATCAAGAACATCATACTATTCATAGTATAGGAAGTGATGTTAATTTAGCATCGGTTCGTCCATTGACATCAAATGTTGCTGAAGTTGCAACTTACTATTCTAAATGGTTTCAGAATATTGTCAAATAACACACATATGCATATACAAACATAAATTTTATTCCTTCATTTTTCTTCTCTCTTATGTGATATTTGTTATTTTTCAATTTGGTTTGTTCGGTTTCTTTTTCAACTTATTTATTTCAATTAAGGAACGAGAAAAAACTACAAGAAAATTAAAATTAACTTCGTTCTTTTTTGAACTGAAATTAACATCAGTTGAGGAGAAAATTCGAAATTTTTCTCGTACTAATGTATTCACAAACGCTGAATACATTCATATTCATCCTCGTCTTCCTCACTTGTTGATGAATACAAAGTTTGTTGATTTTGTTTAGTGACCTGAAATCTAGGTTTCGCCGTTATAATATTTTGACTTTGATCATCTACTGTTTGTTTACTATCTGGATGTGAGACTAAAATTGAAAGGAATTCGTCAGATCGAATAAATTGATAAAACAAATGTTTTGACGATTACTGTTAGACTCGACGCCTACTTTTGATGACTCATCAGCAATGTTGCGATGATTAGTTGTAAAATCAACTGGCGTAACTAAAATAACAAAACAATACCAGTTAAAAAGAATGTATATTGTTCATATAAGACAGAAAAGGGTTAAACACACTATTTTGTTTTTCTTTGGGCACAGTAGTGATTTTTTCTTCGTCATGCTTCTTCTCGTCTTTGTTTTCTGGTGGTGGTAGTGGGGCTGTGTGTAAAGAATTAAGAATATCTTGATAATAGATCATAAATTCTAAAAAGTAAACGTAAACAAACCGAATCTTTTTCTTTCGTGTTTGTTTTTAGCAATAGCCATGGAAGCAGGTTGAACGACACCGCTTTTACGATCTAAATGATCAACGTCACTTTGAACATTCACATCGATTTGATCGTTGTGAAGTGTTGATGATTTAGCAGTTGTTTCTACTGATGATCCACTGTCACTTTTATTAGCGACTGTCGGGCGCAGTGAATCAATAGAAGATGAATTCCTAGGTGTTTTTACATCGATTGAATCAGAATTATCAGATTCATTTTTTAGTACAACTCGTCGATTTCCTGCTTGATTGTCAAGTTTACGAAGAAGATCCTCAATGGTATGTATTTTATGATGGTCGATAATTATTGAATTTTCGTCTTCTTCATCTTCATCTGAATTTCTAATTATTTTTTCTATCTTTCTTGGTGCCAGCCTCTTCTTTTTGGCAATAGATGCAGAAAATTTAGAAGCAGCTGGCCCTGTTTCAATATAGAGAGTCATTTTTCCTTTGTCATCGTCGGTGTCAATGTCAGCTTCTTCAATAGCTTCATCTAGTCGTTTGAGTACATCATCAACAGTAGATATACCTACAGTAGAATAGAATAGGAGAAATAAAGCAAAGCAGTTTTTAACAAGTTATCAATTTGCAAACCGTCAAATGACATATGAACTTGAGCTTTATCGTTTGGCTCAGAAGATAATGCATTTGTTGCCTCGTTAATCTTTGTTTTCTCATTTATTGAATTTATTGAATTTAATGTTTTCATATTTGAATTCACAGCAGATCCTTCTGAAAGAAATCTTTTGTAGTGCATATTAATTTTCAAAATTTGCTTTACTAGACACAGCAGCTCTGGCGCTGATATCAATATCGTTATGCTCGTTAGATGGTTCAATTGGTGAATCATTTGAAGTCGATCGCTCCGATCGAGTTCCTACAGCAGAAGAAATACTATATAGAAAACATAGTTGACTGTCGTAGTATTTTTATACTTGATTGAGTAGAGACTGCAGTATTTGGTTGCTGCTCTGCCCGTGATGCCGATGGTTGGTTTGATCGCGAAGTCTCTGGTTTGTTCACAGTACCTTAGAATAAAATTAATTCATTTTTATACGAATACTTGCTAAAGCTACTTACTTGAAGCATTTGATTGCTCTGATCCTGAAGCCGGCGGTTGGTTTGATCGTGAAGTCTCTGGCATATTCACATTTCCTAAGAATAAAATAAGTACGCTATTGAATCAATACTTGATAAAGCTTCGTACTTGCAGCTGCAAGATGTGGAGATTGTTCGGCATTGGAATTTGCATTGGTTTTCGTTTCATTTGAATGTTTACTTTGTCTTAATTTATGTGTTTTATCTCGAAGTTCACCAGTAAAGCGATGTGCTTTATCTCGAATTGAATGAAAAGTTTTTGATAGAAAATTTCTATCATTCTTCTCTCCGTTTTTTTCACTGGCTGATGGTGCACGTCCACTGGCCTCTGCACCATTCATTGTGGCTTACTTGAAAAGTTGATCTTGATTATAATGGCGACTTGCAAGCAAAATATTACTACACTTGATTTGAAATAAGCGCAATAAAACTATGACTATGTTTTGTAGAAAGCAAATAAATAAAATACAGAGGTTGCGCCAATGAATAGCTGCTGGACGTGCATCACTGATCACAATCAATAGTTTAAGTCACAACGTTGAATACTTATTGGCGCATGTAATACAGAAATGAATCAAAGCTCGACACGTGTATTAAAAACACCAGAGAAAAAGATACAAGCCTATACGATTTTTATATTCTAAGCAACGAAGACTTCAAAATATAATACTAGCTATTAGATTTCGCCCGGGTGTTTCTCAGAAAAATAATCTGATCCCGAAAAAGGGTGTGGTCGTGTATCAAGGGATAAGTACTTCATTAGTAGATTTAGATTTTATAATTAAATATTTGGTGATGTTATATAGCGGATGTGATATGACCCTTCAGCATATTGCAGTTATATCCTGCAAACAGAAGTACGATTCTATCCCTTAGCGGACCACGTCGAATTCATATTATATACCTACTATATTTTGAAGAAACATTGAGATTGTGCAACAATTTTATCTTAACTATGCAATGAGTATGAAAGCAGAACAAGGCGAATTTTGGTCTTTTTTTAATTTACGTGACATAAAAAAGTTTACTTGAAATTAAAATCCAATAAAAAAGAAATTAATTTAAGAAGTGTTGCATTCATTTTTAACAAAACAGAATCATCAAGTTTCAGGCAACTCTTTCATAGTATAAATTATCCACGAATATCAAATATGATGATATCTTATACATTACATGAAAATAATTAAAACTGTTATTAATTATTTTCTTATTAAAGTTTTTACTATCAGATTAATATAGATTGTGCGTGAATTTTATTTGCTAAATATATTTTATTCGTAAAAAAAATTATTTTATTAGATTTATTGCAAATTCAAGATTTGATATTTTTTAATTAATTGAAAAAGATTGTTGTGACGGTCATATGAGGATAGAGTGTACATAATTCGTTTGAGGTTAGTTTAATTTGCGGATATGGCTTTTCAGCAAAGCGCCTTCTTGGTGTTTACAAACGAATTTGTACGAATTCTAACTGCGGACCGCCATTTTCCGATGCGTTAAATCTGCCTTATAATTTGTAACAAATAGAAGTGTTGCAATAATGCCTCTTTTTATTTTCAAATGAAAATAATAGAGAAAGGTGACAAATAGACTCGATACTTCATTTGTTCTTCTGTCAATATAAATATTTTGAGAAAGAAGTAAAAATTACACAAGCCTTAAGATCAAAGTGTTATCGCCAATGACGAAAATATATTGTAGTTGTTTAAAAAAAACACAAATTATATCATAAAATGTCTCATTGTTTACAGTAAATATAACTGTCCAATATAGTTCATTTGTCATAAGGATTATTACTTTAAGTAATTTCTAGTCTAACAACTTTCATTATAACTTTCGACGAAGACACACTCCGTCATTTTTTTGAGGTGCTGAAACAGTTCATAATACTTTCTCTCAATATGTTACACTATCATAATGACTTTGTGAGAGAGAAATTCGAAACACTATACGCTGGTTACCAGCTGAAAAAGAAATAAAAATAAGCTGTTTTGTTTTTGTTGTTGAAATGTTGATAGGATCGAGACATACTCAGTAGTAGTACATCCTCTGCCATCAATAGAACCAAGTCATAATAGATTTCATGCTTCTTCTTCTTCTTCTTCTTCTTCTTTTTACCATTGTGATCACTACTTCAGCTTATTAAAATTATCCCATGCTATTTCTGTTATTTATTTCTATTCAATACAGGGAAAATAAATCATACTGATATAATATCACATTTTATCATTCTTTCGATGATTAAATTAAATAGTTTTTCTACTATCAATATTGACAAAACTATGATATATGTGAGTGTTGAAGCATTATGTAGATATTCTCATGTTATTTTCTTCCCGATGATATGAAATTAATAAGAAACTAAAATTAATATAGAATTCTATCACTGAATGAGATCGATTATTTTATTATTTTAATAAAACTTTAATATCCATTAGAAATTTTGTCGTCAAAATTTGTACAACAAAGATAATTGGTTTTCACATAAAACGAATATCAATTATTTCTTTCTTTCTTTGATCGTTATTTTATGATATTTTATTTATGTCTTCTTCGTCACTTGATTCATCTAAAGCTTTACTTGCTAATTGCCGAATTTCTGAAACAAGATATTGAAGATCACCATCATCTGATGGTGTTATTTGTGGAGAATAGGATTTTTCTTGATGAATGGATTTCATAAGTAGATTACGTTCACGTTCAAGTGTCATGATACGTTTCGTTAGTTTATCTAATTCAGTATCAGATCGTAATTGTGCATCAGCTATTTGACGTTGCCAGCGTTCTTTTTCACGAGTTGTTGTTCGTTCCATTTGTCTAGAAACAATTGTATTTGATTATTTTAAACTTTGAAAAGAAAAACAAGAACCTGCAGTTAGCTGCTAATTTTGCTTGTTCACGTTTTGCTTCGTTTAATTGTTTTTCTAAATTATCTTTATCATTTAATATGTTTTCTTCGCGTTCCTAAAAGCAAAATAAAGTGAAAAAGAATAATGCAAAAGGAAAAACTTATAATTTCATACTCGAAATTCTCGCTTTAATGAATCAATATTTTCTGATTGTTTCTGTTGTTCATGAGCCCATTTTTCTGTTAAATCTTTTAATTGTTTCTCTTTCTCATTTAAAATTATTTCATAGGAATGAATTTTATTTGAATTTTCTTCTAAAATTAATTGCATCATTGATAATTTTTCATTACTAACTACAAAATCTTGTTTATATTTTTGTTCGCTTTGCTCAAGACGTAATTTTGATTGCTCATATTCTTGATCAAGTTTATGTGCAAGTAAATCACGTTCAGTAGAAACAGTTTTCAATTCACGTTCAAGTAATGATAAATCAATATACTGTTCATCTTCAGTTTGTATAGCAATAGTCGTATGATGTCTCGATGACAAAGATAATAATTGACGATTGAATAATGTTTGAAGAATAAGAAAACGTTTATTTATATAGCCAAGACGTTGTTCATAGATAGCAAGAGTTTTATTTATTGTTTTAAATAAATCATCATACTGAGGATTTGTTGTATATTTGATAATCATATCGCGTAATGTTTGTTCAGTTTTTTCAAAAGATTGAAGTCGCTGTTTTAGAGATGTGTTTTCGTGAAGCATTATACTTAAATTTGAATCCGATTGATGTAGTTTTGATTCAAGATATCTAAATGAGAAAAACTAACAAAGAAACTACATAAAAAAGATACATACTGAATATGAATTTTACGTTCATCATATTGAGTTTGTAAAAGTTTATTTTCATGTAAAAGTTCATTGACTTTGCCTTGTAATTGTTCAATGTCTAGAAAAATAATCAAGCATACAAATTTAAAATCAAACATTTGATTTCAGCAGAAAAAATCTAAGCATTCAATTTTGCTACCAGTTAAATATTTAAAGATTTCAGTAATCTAAAAACCTATTTAATTTTCTGCTTTCGATAATAATGTTATCATTGGTTCACCGAAATTGAATCGATGAAAACTTATAATTTGATCATTTTGAATCAAACTACTATTTAGTAGATTTTTTTCTCTACAAACCTATTTCATTGTATAGTAATAAACATCAGTCTTTCCATCTCTTTATCGGACTACAACTATAAGTTGTGAAGGTCTGAAAATTAGTTTATATTAACAAAATACAAGACAACTATTTTAAAGTTGGTCTATCCTTTAATCGTTAGTAAAAGGAATTTAGTATCTCATGTAATAATATAATCGAACCTGGTCAGTCTTTGTTTTAGAATCGTAAATCTTTTTTTGATGAATGTTCAATTGAGAGAAAACTAGATGGTATTCGAGTTTCACTCGTATACGAAATGCGGCGCAAAGCACCAGCCGAGTACACGAAAAAATAAAAAATTTAACGGAAAAACAACAAGCAATCTTAAAATTAATTAGACATTGTTTTGACCTGATTAGTTTCATATTCGCTTGGAATATACACCTTTTCCTGTCTTCAACAGTTGTAATAAAAAAACAAAAAAAGATTTCAATGGAGCAGATGATTGAAATTTAACATACACTCGGAGCGGCTATTGCCGAATCTATCACTACGAGAACTCTATATCAAGGCTTATGGGCGTGTTGTTATAGAACGATTTCGATTGAACATTTAAATAAATCTATGATTTATTATGTAGTTTTAGCTGTGAATGAATAGACTATTGGCTAATATTTTTTCATTACATCACTTTAATCATCTCGAATCTTGAAAACGACAAATTCCTTTCATTTTCGTCATTTTGGAACCACATTTGTGAGTGGACGTAATTTCAGATCGATGACCCGAAAAAAGATATATCAAGTTCGATCTCAATACTTTCATCTCTCGTTTCAATGAGTTTTCTATGACTTTCGGCACTCGAGGTTATCGGGTCACAAAATGATGAAAAAGATGCGTACGTCGAGAAAGCAAAAGCAAAAGAAAACACGCGACGAACTACATAACTGCTATGCTTCCCATCGCATTAAGAATTTTCTAAGTTCTAAGGACTAAAATTCTGTAATAACAGTTCACTGAGTTGGTAACTAATATATTTATACAGCGAGACTATTCGAATCTTTTTATTCAAGAAAAAAAATTATCTAGACCCCAACTACGAACTGAACTAACAAAAATAAATCATGCTTGTGTTACTAGTTATACAAAAATTTCTTCAAACAAACACAAGCATCTTAATTCTCACTCTACGTTAATTTAAAATGAAGTTATCAAAAACAAATACGTATATTAATCATATTATTCAAAAGAACATATTCAATCACTTGAGCCCCTACTTTTACGATACGATTAGAGTAATTCAAGTTAGCTGATATAGAGTTACTAAATATTTCTTG